TTAATTCAAATCCAGAGTTTTCTTCCCCAGTAAGATTACTTTTTAAAAAAAAAAATTACTTTGGGCAAGTATATAGTTAYCCAAAAAATAGAAAAAAGCGCTAAAATTTGAGAAAATGTAAGTATTTGTACTTGTCATTGTTAAAATTCAAATTCTGTTAACTAATTCCCCAAAATTATATTCAAAATGGTCATTAAAAATGTAGTTATGATAAGATATTTTATAGTATGTGTTTGCATTTCTCTATTTCAGCACGATATTTAAAATTAATAGATTTGTAACGATTAAAGCAATATTATCCCATTTGTCTCCTCAAATCTCCAAGTCTTCAAACCAAAATAAGATTTTGAAGCAATGATTACTCAAGTAGTGTCTCAACAACCTGAGTTTTATTCAATTATGAAGGGAAAAACAATGTTTTGTACTACCTACCTGCCAGAATTGTTCTGGCAAATACTGATTATACTTGTTATTAAAAGATTCATGTTAGCAATTAGTATTTGAAATAGCTAATGGATTTAGCTGGCAACCAGGTTTGTACCTGGTAAATTGTTATATTTTCCTGGCTACCRAACAAGAGACAAAACAAAGGCTGAACATTTTGACTCAACACTGATGACAGTGATAAACACTACCAAGAAATGCCTGATGGAATCATCTTGACAGGCAATTCATATGTAACATTCCAGTTAATCTGTTATGATGAGACACAATGAAAGAGACAGCTCCAAGCCACCAGGGGAAACTCTGCCAAATAGAGAAAGCAGCTTTATTTCAATGCTTTACAAGGAGTTATTATTGATTAGAGCACAGAAAGGTGTCATTCTTGTACACAGACTGAGAGATGCAGTTATTTGTGTCAATTAACTCTTATTCAATGTTAGTATTGATTGGCAAGGTCTGAACACTAGTCATTGCCATCAATATGYTATTCATGAAGGAGGTAGTCAAAAGATACAGATAACCAGCGGGACATGGCAGTATGGATCTGCTGATGTTCTACTGTCACTGCACTGAATGAACAGTCAGGCTTCTGCAATTGAGTAACTTTTCAGTACAACACCTGTCCTAAAACACTTGTGCAGCTGGAAAACAACCCCACAGTTCAGGCAGATCAGAGTAAGGTGAGCAACCTWCAGGTGTGAAGCCTTAAATAACAAGGAGCAGTGGAAGGGCAGTCACTTTCACAAACAAGCTGTGTCAACACCAAGGCCTCTGAAGAGCAAAGCTTTCAGAAAACAGGAACTGCAGGTCCTCTGTAAAAATGGTTCATTAATTCTTCATCTTGCCTCTAGCCAAAATTTACTTCAGAACAATCCATGAAAGCGATGACACTAGATTTCTGTCATAAACATAATGTGGAAATGTTAAAACTGTACTRAACTTAGAGTGTGATTCAAATTTTGCAGTGAAATCTTTTCTGTTAARGAGTTGAGCCAAATTCTCCCTCACCTACCTAGAGAAAGAAAACAATACGCAACTTCCCAAAACAGAATGTGCCCACTTTCTTGGCCTGAGCAGGGCAGGATACGTAAGCTAGGAGAGKTGGATGATCCCAAATAGCTGTGTGGTTTGCTTAGTTGCTGGTTTGTGGGTCTTGTGGTTCACTCCAGCAAGACACRCTGCAGCCAGGCTCAAGTGCTTCTGCCACCCAGCAGGACCCACGCAGCAGCTTTCACACCCTGAAAGAGCTGGACTGAGCACTTGGATCCATGCAGCGGAAGCTTCCAGCATAAAGAACTATGCATAAAAATTCCATCTCAAATGACCTTCTGATAACTGACTAGTGCCCAACCTGCACAGGAAGGGACCTCCAATAGGGAAACCATAGGAATACAATTAAATAAAACCAGCAAACCCAGCATCTCTGCAAAYGCATCAGCCTTTCCTTCCCACATCCAGCTTCACAGACATAGGCACACAACTTCAGTTCAAGAATCTGTCCATTCTGAAAACCAGGAAACTGATTTCATGGGATTCAGAAGCAAAGTCATGACTTTAGGGGACCTCAGCTACCTGTATTTTTTCCAAAACTTGCACTATGATGAGTGAAGCTTAACTAACCCAGGTCAGCACAGGCAAATACTGAAGCATATATTGTTTTCCTTTAGGTTTCCACTACACCAATTTAACCATTAAAGACAGCTTTTCTACCTCCTGGAAAAGAGCAACATATTTACATACTATAATTATCATTTAGTTTGATGACAACCAGCAAAAACGAGTTTCTATTTAACTTTGAGAGAAGCCTGTTTACTTGAGAAAAAGTCATTAACATCTTGATACGCCCCTATTTCCACACAGAACTTTTGTCTATGACCAGGTACTACTGATGGACTTGAAACGCACAACCTAAAATTCCACTTAACAAGGGTAATGGGTAAAATAGGTATTAATAAGTGTATATACAGGTAACATACATTCATGATATATATTTAAAAGCTAAAACACTGTCTTGGGCACATGATAAAACAAAGTTGTAATGAAAGGTCTTGAACACATCTCACAACTGATTCACTGATAGAGTTCAATGCCAATGATAAGCTCTATAATAGGAATTAAAATACTTGCAACCATAAAATACAAATAAAATCCTGTTTTCAAAATGAAATATTATGCCTTAAAAAAATCAACCACACATTCAAAATCATTTATCCTCAAATTATACATAAGAAGCTAATTTTCTCTCGATCTTTTAACAAAGTGCCCTTACACACTCTGGAGAATTATTTGACATCTCAGTTTTCGTAACAAAAGCTTACAGGCACTGAGGGACTTTGTTTGGGAAGAGCTCTAACCATTCTAAAATGTCTCTTGAGAGCTCTCTAGTGTGTTTCTTAGCAGTGGTGATTGAATAAAATGCTGCCCAAAGGAGGCTGAACTGCAAGTGTTCCTTTAAAAACCAATGGAGCTGAAAATCGTTGTTGCTTAGTTCACCACATGCTCTTTTACCCTTCCTCAGCTAAGCTCTATGACAGCCATGTGTTTTATCTACTACCCTCTTTGGCAAGCTCTTCAGCCTGAAGAATTTTCAGTACAAAAAGCAGGAAAGAGCACAAGCATTTATCAGTGCTCCTCCATAGTCATTTAGCATTTGAACCACATTACCAATGAAAGTAACATTTGAATTTCTATGGCCTGTAAATACAAATACTATTCAAAATTTATCCCAAGTCTCCCTGACAAAGCWTTGAATCCAAAACTTAATGAGACTACTTATATTAAATAAATTTAAACCTATGTACCAAATTGGAGATTCAAGTCTATACCTTCATCTTAATGTCCAGGAGCTAGCTCTTGTGTATCACAGACCCTTCCATRTCAGTAGTGCAAGAAGGAGAAAGGGAAGCAATAAAAACCTTTGGGCCCTACTTCCTGTATTTTTCTATTACTTTACTATCAGTGACAATAAATCTACAGTTATTTTGAGATATATTAAGGTATTTTAAATTCTTGTATGGTGCTCACAATTGTCTTTAACCGTCCCCTGCCCAAACTCTTGAATTTCTAAGCAACTGATCTGGAATCTTCACAGTAAGAGAACCCMAAGAACTAACTACCATTACCTTCAGCTTACTTACTAATAAAAAAGGCAAAAAAATAAACTCAATAAATGTTATCTAAGACATCAAAACAGATTAGAGGAGACTTTAAAATATGATGAATGGCTACATGAGCCAGGTATTGGGTCAAAGTCCAAATAAAATTGATTTGGTTCCATTCAGCAGACCCACAGATGTGCGCAGTATATATAGACGTCTGTGTGTGTGTCTTAGAAGTCTATTTTGGTTTCAAGTCTCATTTGCTATAAGCCACTATGAAAACTTCGTATTCATGCCACATTGTCTTTGAATAGCAAAAATTATTTAAAATAGAAGTTCTGTTTTTGAGAACCTCYAGGCCTTCTTACATAATCACATTAAAAAGTAGTTTGAAAGACACCAAACGTAGTTTCCCAGTTTTATCAATCCATAAGCTGAAGTGACTATWAAGCACTTAAACTGCAGAGCAACAAAACTGTTTTAAGACACAAAGATCTTATTCAAATAATATGTGTCTATCCATACTCTATATACAAAACATCTTGCCTGGTTTCAGTGTTATTGTTAAAACAAAAGGTCTTTCATATAGACTKTTCTGTTTTAGCAGTGTCCTTCCAGACATCAGGTAAATCACCAGGTATCAGACAGAGCTGGGKTTCTATTCATCAAAGCCTAGATTCCTTGTGGGAAACACCACATGAATGAGTTTTGGAAAATTTACAAGTAAACCTCATGCAGGTTGAGGATGTGGGAAGGAAGTTTCAAGAGTGATAATGWACACACAGTTAGCAACTGCTGTTGCTCTTTTTCTGACAATACTTGAGGATGCAGGACACAATCTAGGTCCAAGTTATGAGAGTTATCTCCCAAAGAAAACCTAAAAATGTTCAGAGAAGTTACCACCATTCTGTTTTCCCTCCTATTTTATCTCACTGTTTCCAAATACTGTCTTTAGTTCTACTGACTGAAGTAGAAGCTTCACCTGTGGTAATAAAAGTGACCACTAGATCTACTTCCCTATGAAATCAGGAACAAGATAGATCCAACTGACTGACTCTAGAAATTACTGGTAAAAACTATGAATCAGATTAAAACCATTTAACTCAGCTGYAGGGAGCCAGAGCAAAAGAAAGGGACAGATCTCAGAAACTCACACTTAATAGGAGGTGACGAGGTAGCAGAACCTTTAAAAGACTCACCATCATCCTCCAGAGACCACTGGCCTAGTTTTTAAAAATCTACAAATACTCCTGGTGACCTAGCCACTGTCAGGAGCAGGGAAAGGGTTGACTTGTTAGTCCACAGGGAATGCGACATTACCTACATGAACACACAGCTAGAAAAGGACAAATCTGCAAATCTGCAAGAGGGCCCTCTCTGTGCCCAAATGACAAATCATTCAACAGCATGTTTAATTAATCCATTTATAAGAATCTCTAAATAAAGACCAATACTCACCGAAAAGTTTTGACAAGACTTTTTAGCTCTGGGTAAATATCACCAGAACCAATCTGAAGCGGGCCCAAAACTGTAGATAATCTGGAAGGCAAATATGAACACCAGTCAATATACATTTTTCTCTTTCTCATTTCTTCTCAAGCAGGACGTTCACCAAAGATTATAAAAGGTAGTRAAAAGAAAAGGAGATTGAGTGTTTTGCAGCAGATCAAGCCTGTAGTTCTCATTTCAGCTTCCTCTGTGCGGTGTTTGGACCAACACCTTCATTTCACAACTGTGTGTTTTTAAAAATCAGAAGCTTGAGTTCAGTGTGAACATGAAGTTTTGTATATAGTTCTACATAAATGTTCTTACTAATTTCACATTTCAGTTCTGCAAAAATATTCTTACAATTATGAGGATTAGAACTACAGGCCTTATAATTTTTTTTGAGGTTTATAGTTACTTGGCTCAAAAATAGCAATACAAAAGGAAACTACAAGTCTAAGTGAGGTATTCACACAGAATAGATCTGCTAACCTCAGACTCACGTAGATGCAACAGAAATATCACTCCACTGTGAGCTGGATAGTTGAAGTCAAGATGATAGTTATCAGAAAATTTCAAAAGAGAGAAAAAGACAGGTTTCCTCCTTTCTTATCTGCGCACGGAATCTGATAAACCACAAAAACTGTTTAGCTAGGTGCCAGTATTCCCAAATGGTGGAARTAACATCCTTTGTTTTTCAGATTTAGGATTAAACTTTTACCTCTATTCACTTGTTTAATAGTTAATATTCTTTTGCATTTGAATATCCAGTTATTTGCATTTATATGCACATAACACATATGCATCAGTATTATTGGAAGAATCAAGATTTCTGTTCTCCTGTCCATCAATGCATGTTTTACAAAAAAAATGAACACAGGACTCTTATGATGCTGGGCATATTATTTTATCACAATGAAAATTATCTCTCCAGTGTAACAGGATGACTGCATCACCTCAGGAAATTTAAAACCATTGACAATTACAGACAAGACACTTGGGGGATAGTTTGATTCCATGTTTGTGGCCTACCCACACATGTTGCAGGCAGAGAAAAACAGAAAGGATTTTCTTTCTATTTTGGCACTGGGGAGGGATGCGGGGATTGGTTGTCATCTTTTTTAGTTTTAAAATAAAGCTTCTGCAAAACCTAGTTTGGCTACATAACCCACCTACAGTGATGGAAAAGTAAATACCCCTAACAAAAACCAACAGAATCATAACCTTCAAACACTCATTTATCTGCATTGCCGTGACAATGAGAATATTTTCAAGGTCCTCTCAACTTTGACAATTTAATATTTCTAACAGCTACAACAGAAATGCCTTAATTTTGTTTTCTGGGACTCCCAAGCCCTTTTATGAATGTGAAGAAGGTGTGATGTTTGGAAAAGTTTTAAGATTCAGTTCTGAGGTCCTTTAATGGTTATAGTTAGGGGCATAGTGGTATCAGCCACCCAAACAAGCATTGGAAACTCTCTTAATAAGACCTTTGCTTAAAGGATTACAAAGATTTGTTTACAAATAACAGTATGTTTAATGTACAAGACAAATATTTGCAGTCCTCTCAATCAGCTTCAAGTTTTTCAATTTAAACTTGAGCAGTTGGTATATGCAGACTGTGCAAACTGACACCGGCAACTGTACTACACCTGACTTGCAGAAGTAAGTCCTTTAGGGCAATAATGGGTTTAAATTATGACTAGGGCTACCTAGAAGAAGCCAGGCCCATCTTTAGACAGAGTGTTTGTTACTTAAATGAGTACCTACTTCARAATGATATTCACTGAAGAAAAGGGTACTTACGCTTTTCTCAGTTTTTCAAGGACAATTCGCCTCCTAATCTGCATTTGCGCATTTGAATCAACAAGTGGGAAGGTGAGATCTTCCTGCTGATCATCCTGTATTAGGCAAAAAACTTTAACAGCTATAACCTAATGTTTAATTAAAGTCAAAATAGTCACAGATTATCAATAAATATTTAAACATCAAATAACTTATCTCTGAATAGAAAATAACCCAAACAAATTTTTTAATGGGAAGATGCTTGTGTAATCTGATGCAACATACAGTGCGCAGCTAATGTGTGAGACACCACTTACAACAGCAGAAACAATGTAATAATTCTCTGAAGGCCTATGCAGGCTTTATACAGCCTCCACACTATCCCACTGGACACTTACTTTGTCTTTGCTTGGATGTTCTCCTGATTGCGCATGTGTCGCTGCCTCTTCAGCCAAGATGCAACTTCCTTTATAGAACTCTCTTACTCGGAGTTCTAGGAACTCTGTTTCTTCTTTTAACTTTTCATAACTAGGCATAGGCTTAACTATTCCACCTGAGCCTGTGAAAGGTARAGAGTAGTTCAAGCTGTTTTCAGACTCTCCTACATCAACAGTGTTGAGATCATCAGGTGTATCTAAGTCATCCTCATCAAGTTCTTCAGTCTCCTGGTCAGCAGACGCTATGCACTCTGACGAGCACAAAGAAGTATAGTTTGGGCCATAGAGAAATTTTAAAGTTTCCTCAGTTCTCCATTCCATAAGTGTTTGCCTAAGCACTTCTAGTAAACTGCCTTTGGAATTACCTGGACACCTCAGTTCAGGTTTTTTATATTCTGTTGAGTTAGCTAGTGTTCTTTTAAGATGTTCTGCCCCTCTTTTGCTMACACCTAGAAAAACTATCTGTGATCCACATGCATTTTCACAGATTTCTGAAGGACTTGATTTCCCTAGAGCAGTACTGTTGGAAGGTGGTGCAGCTACTTCATTATGAACAGAGCAAGCATGTGTTTCTTCCTGAGTGTCTAGTTTACAATGAGAGAGTTGTTCAGTGGCTTCTATGATATCTGCATCTTCAGTTTTAGGGCTGACTTTTGGAGAATGCTTCTTTTTGAGGATGCTTTTCCTGGGCAATTGCTGCGCAAAATTGGCTGAACTTGACTGACTTCCTGGTAGGACAGAAGAAACAAATTCTTGTTCAGTATCAGTACTGCTGTCACTGGCTGTGTCATGAGAACCAGATTCACATGTATCTGAAGATATCCTAGGATTTTCAATGTCAGATGCTTTAATTACTTCATCACGTAGTTTCACCTCTTCTCCAGACTGCCCACTGTAAGAGAAAACACAAGCCATCAGTGAATTAATAAATTGGTTTTAGCTGCAATAGCTTTTCATTCTCATGTAAGAATGATAAACCAAAACAGTTYCCCCCTTGCAGCAGACATGTAATTTTTTATTGAAAAATCGTAACCACTCTTCTAAAAGTCTTATTGAACTCTAAGAGTTTTACTGTTCTATGATCAAGGTGACAAGTATAAGGACTATTTAGAGAAACAAGTTCTCAGCTGATTATTGGCAGTTAGAAAGGAACAGTAAACAACTTATTATTAAAGACAGCAGAACAATATCAGACTTAGCATCACAAATAATGCAATTTTAAAATGAAGATAGGCATGTTAACATATATAGGAACATAGTACCCTTAAATCAGAAGGGCAGCAGAGCTCCTTCAGCATATATAAGTTTGCCACCTAATGGCAATGGATCRCAAAAGAAAACAAACACAAAGTTGYACAATACACAGCAAGGTACAGTGAGATGACAGAGTAGCGTGATTTCATTTTGGCTGATACAGACCTTTTATATTAAGTAGTACAGAAGCTTTCATCACATATAATTGGCACAATTTTCTTTATAAAGAATAGATGGCATAAAATATTCAAAGTACAAACAGTATATTTGTTTCAGATTTCAACAGGCTCAATTAAGACACGCAATCCAAGAGCAGCTGTACACTAAATCATTCAGATCAAATACACTGGGTTAGAAAAAAAACCTTTGCAAAGGTTCAAATAAGGTCTTTTCTATAACACAGAAAATCACAGATTCACCTTTCATCTGCTATGATGCTAGAATTTCTAGCTATAGGTATATACAACAACAACAACAACAAAGAGCTGTTCAATGTACCTCCATCCCTCCTTCAGCAGCTCTATGTCTGGTGGTCTGCAAAAAGAAGACACAGAATGAGTATTTTCCAACATAAATACAAAAATAGTTGAGTTTGGAAAAGACATCTGAGGGTCTTCCAGTCCAACACCCTCTGTTCAAAGCAAGTCTAGCAAGAGGAGGTTTGTGCACACGCGTTCCTATCTTATGTTTCGTTCCACTATAACCTTAGTACAGTTTTTTTCCTAATGTCCAACCCAAGCTATCCATGCAATTGTTTGTGGCCATCAACCAAGAATAGTTTGGCTCTGTAAACTTTCTAACTTTTTTCATCTAGTAGTACACTGCTTTGAGATCACCCTTTGGTGTCCTCTTCAACCAGGTGAACATGCCAAGATCCTCATAGATCATAAAGTTCCAATAGTAATGACAATCCTGGGCTAGTTATAGAAAAATGTTTCAATTAATGCAAAAATATGAATATTCATGAATACATATATAAATATATGTATTCATGTACAAATATATTTAACTTATTTTCAATTTTAAAATATACTTATATTAAAAACACATTGTTACTCATTTCAAATTTTACATTGTTAAAAATTAGGCTATCAAGTTAAACTTTGTAAAAGAAAATGGTGTTCAAAGTTTCTAGAAATTCCACAAACATTTCTAAACAAATTCTGATGAGTTTCTTTCCAAAGCTCTATCTGCAGGTACTTTAATTCAGTTAGGAGGCAGCATCACAATGCTATTCCTCTTACCCAATACCAAATGTTAAAAATCTCATCTGTCCCATGACTCAAATAAAACCTTTTAAGAAAGCATTAAATGCAAGTCAATGCACTAACATCTTTCAATGTAAAAGACCTCCCAGGTTTAAATATATGAAAGCTGCACCACTCATATCAATAAACTGAGTTTGGAAACTAAGGGTGATAGCATACAATGATTTAAATTATTAACTCCATATAACTTTACTTCCAAGTTTTAAGTAGAGGTTGTAGCCTTTTCTGTCAAAGGAATTTCAGATATTCTAACATGTACATGTGTATCGGTGTGTGCACACGTATGTGGCAGAGCCAACAGGTGTAGCTGGCCAAGAACTCTCTGGGTGTTTATTTTTTGAAAATACTGTCTCACCACCACCACCCAGAATAAATAATTAACTATGTCTGGCACACCAGAATGATACACTTTTGACACTGTGAATGAAGAGAGATTTTAGAAATACTTTTTTTAAAGACAGCAAAACAATATYCCAAAAGCACTGCTAAATGTAAACATTTAATGAAGAGTCCAGTTTTACCTACTRGCATGCCTCAGATCCAATCAGGCTGCTCTAAAGCTCTTCTCTCATTAACGAGGTATTTCATATGACACATATACTTCAGCTAGTTTCTTTTGTTGAAAACCAGGAGTCTGAAAAGCAGTGTCTTGGAGAATAAAACCTGAATAAATTTGCTGAACATTCTTTATGCAAGTCTTTGTTGTTCAACAGTGACACCCATTGGCTCCATTGATAATTTGCAAGCCAGTGTCTCCTAAGCTAGGAACATGGACTGCATAGCACTGCTCATAAACATGTACCACAGGAAGAACATGGAATGGGCAATCAGAACTTAGATGGGATAAGCAACCTCCTAATGTTATAGTCTGYTTTCAGATGCAAGCATTCACTCTAAGTTTAAGACTGATGACAAGYGCTGTGTTAAAATCAGAAAATCTCCTGTAACAGGGCAAGATTAATTAATCTTGTACATTATATGATTTSTAAAAATTCMATCCTAGTAAGTACATGCTAAGGTAAATAGGAGTTAACTATTATTTATGACTAGTCTGCCCTCTAACTAACATGGTCATGTCTACTAAGTAGATGTGAGTAGTACTGAACCATGTTAATCACTGTAATCCATACAGCAACAACACTTTTAAAATAAACACCATACTAAGCTAACATCTTAACATCAGTTACCTCTGCTTCAGCCAAATCATTCTGATGCACTGCAGCTACTTAATTACCACTACACCTTGCACAGAGAAATAATATTCTTGAAAAGTGGAATGAATGTGTAAGTTTATACTTACTTTTCTTCTTCTCTCATCCATACCGGACTTTTGGAAATTTGAGCTTCAAAATATTTAGATGCTCTATAGCAAAAGTTGCTGCAAAAGCACTGGCAATGAGAGGAAGAAAAAAAAAAACATGACTAAGGCAAACTTTAATATGTAGAAAGGTACAAAAGTAATTGCTTTTAATGCCTGTAAAATCAAGTACCAATAACGTTTCTTTTCAAGCTTATGGCCAGGTCTTTAGTTCACCTGAGAAACCCAGCCTATCAAATAGGTCTATCCCATTCCCCACAAATCACATTTAGCTGCTTCTTTCTTCCCCATTTTTCTGCTTTCTGCACTTTTATTACATACTGAGAAGCAAACCAGTGTTGGATTCTATATTACAATAATTTWAAAAAAACAACAAACCAAACTGTTCAAAAATGAGCCCATAACCCAATATGATGTTCATACAGTTTCAAAGACATACAGTAAAATTCAGGTGTTTAATAATGGTTATTAAACTTTGGTTAGCAACAGAACCTGGTACTTTGCAATACTTGGAACAACACCTAAAAATCTGCAGCATCTTTGAAAAGTGGATTTGCACACTTGCATCACAAGTGAAGAAGACAAAGCATCCCACTTCTTGTTGGAGTCTTGCCTAGCTGTTTGAGAAACTAATTCCTAAAAAAGTTTGCATATCCCAGAGTTTTAACTAGAGGACAGGAATGCATACTAGTGACAATGAAGGAATCCGTTCTGTAACTGGAAACATTTATCTTACAATGTAGTGTTTAAGCATCTTAGGTGATTGCATATCCTGTGAACTGGCCAAGATGMCTTTTATGCAATCACATGTGTGAATATTCTTCCAGAAAGAAACATTTTGTGAAGAGTTAGGTTTTATGTTGCAAAGTTCTCAAAATAGAAATCCAAAGGTTCCCAAAAAAGAACACTAAGGAATACCTAAGATGTTACTCCAACTACGCTACTGTGAACTTCAACAATTGAAAAGGATGTGCCCTTTGACCCTAAAGCTCACTGACTATACTGGAGCAAAATAAAGAACACTTCTTTACAGATGTCTTTAATTGATCAACAGGACTACATTCCAACTGCTATCCAAGTAAAACTTCCCATGTTCTGTTTAACTTTAGAAAACACATCTTTGTCTCATCAAAGATACCATCTAGAAACTGAAATACAGAAAAAATTTCATATTCTAACAGTTTATGAAAATTATTTTTGTAAGAACTGAACTATATGAATGCCACTATATGAATATACATATTCTGAAGTTGCTACTATTAAACACATTYTAGAAACAGACTTGTTACCATACCTTTCTTTCAGTGATATCATAAACTCTGTTTGTTTTTGTTGAAATCCTGTACTTCTGCTTTGGCACCTAAAACAACATGTTTTCATCAGCAAGACTGTCAGTTCCATGGTGACTACAGTGAAAACTCCACTCTTATTTCACATATTTACATATACATTCTATTTAACTGAACGGCATACTACAACCACCTTTTCTCTCAATTCTTCTGATGTTGCACATTCTCAGATGTAAGAATGGCAATTTATCTTTAATCATACACATGTCACTAATCAGTAGAAGACAGCCTCATATGTATAAGAAAACACGTGCTGAACTGTAACCAATGGAGCTGACATGGCAGAAACTTTTTCCCTATGTTAAGTGCTGAGCAATTACAGACAGGCAATCCATATCCATTTACATGCTTGTGAGGCTGTACTGTCAGACCCCCACCACTAGTCACAAAAATTCAGAGAGGAGMTTATGTAAAACATTAACAGTTTTGAAATGAACATCTGTGCAAATATATRAAGTCCAAAACAGTAAATTGTTTTGTACTTGAGTAGATTTTTTTCAGATAATCACATGTAGCAGGTATGACATCACAGGTTATCTGACCTCTGAGTTCTGCTTAAGCTCTCATTTATCATACCTAAAGAGGTGTGACTTYGATCTTGACACAGTTGACATACATTTTTATAGTAGATGTACATGCATTAATATAATAATATCTCTGCATTATATTATTTTTCACTGCAATCCTTCTCATAGACATCTGTTACTACACTGACAAAAGAACAAAATTTCAAAGTTTTTCATTCACAAAAGAAGGCCATGAAGCCACAACTCACTCATCTTTATCACTGTCAAAGCAGCTWTATGGATTGTAATTCTGATCATACAGTAACTGCTGTCTATTGATCAAATTTTACCTTTCACTTCAGAAGGATTATACTGAAATGGAATGACATAATGCCTGGCCCATTTCTTGACAACAATCTGTGTTTAATATTCTAAGTTTAAAGTTAAAAAGAAAATGCAAAAAAATAAAAATCGTGAAAAGGTTCCTTTCATAACAGCATTAATGAAAAGCAACTTACATTTTCCAGTTTATTCTGACATAGAGGATAACCACACAGTTTGATGATAGACCGTTCATCAACAATGTCTTTATAATGAGATGGAGTAATACATTTTCCCTAAAGTGACAAGAAAATAGTTTAACAACAGATACTGGAAAACCTGTCATTTTTTGTACTCAAAGCATCTCTTAAGCATATAAACATCTTAAAATTTATAAAAGTTAGGGTACCAGAGCTGGTACAAGAGGGATTCAATATTTTGTCTATTTTCAATTGCAGCAAATTGTTCCAAAAACTTTTTTAAAAAAGTACCGCACTAAGATACAAAACAGTATAAAAACTTGCAACATCTACACAATTTAGAAGGAATTCTTCAGTAATGTCCTCTTCCAGGAGCTGTTCAACAATRGACAATGCTTTTTTCTCAAATTCAATCTTCTTTCTCAGTGCAGCCTCCAGAACTGCTTTCCTRTAACAGAACAGACACTGAATGATAGACAGGGCTGATTTCCATATTTCCATAAACAAGTTTTCAATYGTATTCTTATCTTTTTTTTCTGAAATACAGTAGCATACATTTTTCTGCATCACACCATGTTAGCTGAGCAATGCAACAAGTAACTGGACTAGTTATTCTGTTATAACCACAAAGGGTCATATATTTCATATTGGTTTGCTTCATTTGCTGGAGGAMAGTATTGATTCTTACTGTATTGCAATACACTCTCCAAATTTTCTTGCAAGAGGGAAACCCAGAACTGGCKGGACAAAGAGCCTGGGACAATTTATGGAGTGTTGTCAGGAAAACAGGAACTGGGTAAGACATGAACAATGGGAAATAAAAAGGGAATGTGGAGAATGCAATTTCAAAGTGCCTCAAAGTGAGGCAAAACAAGACAAATGGCACATAGTGTTCCTCAGAAATTATACCTTTGAGCAGCATCTTCATTTTTCAGAGCAGATGAATGCTTATTTCCTAGAAACGTAGAAACATAGAAATTAGGGTACTTTCTAAACAGCGGAGTATGTTARAACCTGAAAAATTTTAAACTGTCTGAACTGTAAGCACAATCAAGGTAATTGCCTAGTAACGTGCTTTTGAAGGCTGTGATTTTACTAAGTTGGTATTCAGCAACCAGTTAGACACACTTTAAGTGYGAAAACAGGCCCAGCTCTTCTCATCCTCATTCCTCCAGTTCTGTATACAGAGAAAAGGGAAAAAAGAATTCTGGCAAGAATTTAGTGTCAGCCACACACCTCCAGCTCAGCTTTACCCCTGCACCCCACTGCTGTCCCCACAGCTGCCCCACCGCAGGGTTTTGCTCCGGGTTAGGTCCAACCCAGTACCCTCACACAGAGTCGCTACTGCCACCCTCGCTGCCACCGAGCACAGCGCCCTGAGCCAGCTCCTGACACGGGTGCCCCGGGCAGCTGCTCCCGKAAGACAAGGGCAACAGGAGGGAAGATAGCGGGCTCTTATCCTAGCAAGGACGCAGCGCTCTGACCAGCTGCACCACCGCCGTCACAGCCCGCGCCCGATGCTCGGAGCGGACCGGCGTGGGCTGACCCCTCACAGCCCGGGGGGATGGCGGGTGCCAGCCCCGCCTTGCCCGGCCCACAGCCCACTGCCCACCACAGCCCCGCACCGGCCCGGCAGAGGCCCACAGAGCGGCCACGGCCAGCCCCCGCTCCCCCCGGCACAGCGGGTTGGGCGAGTCCGCCGCTGTGCCGGTCTGAGGGCACAGGGAGAGCCCAAAGCTCCAGGCAGGGGTGAGGAGAAGGGAACTGGCGCCCACCTGCGCGCCGCCGGCGGGGCTTGCCCGTCCCGGCCGCCATCATGGCCATCCTCGGCGCTCCGCCCGCCGACCTTTCACCCGGGGCGGAGCCGCTGCCGCGGCGGGGCCGGGTCGGGACAGGCGGCAGCGCGGAGCTGAGGGGTTCGGCTGGAAGGGGCTGAGGTCAGGTGAGGTGAGCGGGTGGCCCTGTGATTTTTAATTCAGCCGTGTGTTACAGGCTGAGACTGGCAGCCTCCTYGTCCCAGCCTGCGTGTTGTACCCCCCAGAGAAGGGGCTGCGGTGTCTATTAGGAGCGAGTTTGGTGAGTATTAATAGAACATTTCACATGATTCAGATGCTGCCCACTTGCCGCTGAAGCCTCTAAAAGATCCAGTTAGAAACCGGATTAAGTATTAAGGCCGGAGACCATCTGTGAGCTCAGCCAGTAAATCCCTGGAGCAGCGCGGTGGGTCCTTGGGGTGCGATTCAAGGCTGTAAGTACACGGTGAAGTTCCTGAGGGTTGAAAATGCAAGTGTTGGCGTTCGAAAGTGTGTTAAATTGTTTTGGCGGGATTAGTAACGTTCTGTAGAATCAAGAGCTCAAAGAGTACAACGTGGAGTGATAAAATACGTGGTAATGACTTGGTTAAAATGGCAGGCTAGAAAGGATAGGTTCCAGTGACATAGAGATGTTAAAATGGGCTGTGGAGAATGGAAGTGAGYTTTTTATTCTTTGAATAAAGGGGGGTACACACAGATGCCTTTTAAGCTTTTGTGAGTTATTCCTCTTTTGTTAGCATCCAGATAGGTTCGTTGTCTGTGTGTTTTCTCATCTAGTTTAGGTGAAAGGCTGACGACATTGCATGGAGATATCCGTGTTTTGWTGAATTGTTACCTAATTAACCACGTGTAGAAATAATTGACCCTCACAGTGCTCGTATAATCAGGTTTAGGCCCATGACATTACTTAAAACTATAAAGATTATGGCCGCTGCTATGTTATATCACATGGGATAACCAAGCTTGATTATATGTGTAAGTTGTGGTCCTGGCTGTGTAAAACTTGGTACGTACTCGACATTATTCAAGTGTATAACTTGGTTGTTCTTAGCAAGAAACTTTTAAATTTTAATACCTAGGGGTAAAAGGCCCCTGAATAGTCCAGCCTAGACACTAGGAAGAAATATTGTATATGCAAACTTGATTGGACTGTTGATATAAAGTGGCTTGTTGTTTGGATGAACACCTTCACATCCCAGACATTGAGTTAGTGTATTGCAGTCAGGGCTGAGGAGAAGCTCCTCTGGTCAGAATAGTYATAGAAAATGTAGTGTGTCCTGGGTGTCCATGCTTGGTGTGTGCAGTGAGCCCAGACTTGCTCTGTATTAGCTGCAGTTTTCCCTGTACACGCCCAAAGYAGTCACTGAAACCTTCAGACTTCTTAAGATGACCCAGACAATACTTGAAAAATTGCAGGTTGTTTCCTGTCTGTAATACTGTCTCCTGCAAATATGGGGAAGTAGAATAATATAATATAGTARAATAATATATACTTCTTAAAAATGAATTTTCCCTTATCTTCTAATTATGTAGTCTTTAATATCTATCTAGGTTGTTCTTATTCCTATAAGAACTTTTTTTATAATGTGATTATTTTTTCAGCCTCTGTTTTAAATTCATGTGATATAATACTGCCCTCTTAAATTTATAATAGATTTTGATGCCACAAGAAAACAGTCAAGCTATAATGGCAGTTGATGAACTTCAAGCCATAATACAAAGATGCGTAAGTAGTTTTCTTTCCTTAGATGCAACAAGTGTAAGTAGTGTAAATTTCTCTTCATATATTATAATAAAACCAAAATTACCTCAAAAGACAAGTCAACTGTTCATAGAACTCACTGGGCAGCTAAGTTCAGCCTCCATGTTTCATAGGAATGGAGTTAAACATTCATATTTTCTTTCTAGCAAATTCTGGAAGAAGCTGATTTCAAAGGAGAAGATTTTAACCTGTTTCTGGTAGCAGGTCAGAAATGTTTGGAAGATGGATATGCAGCTCAGTTATTAGAAGTAATTCAAAACGAGAAAAACAAGGTGAGTTTAAGTTTGCCCTATATATTAGTTGCAGTTTTATATTTAATAATGTTAATAAAGAGGGGAAAGCTGCTTTCACTGTGGAGCAAGGCTGTACAAATAAATAGCTAATAAGTTGCCCTAAGTGCACATTATTCTGTGCACTTCAGGTAGCTCACAGAAACACAAGTCACAGTAATCTTAACAAAACCATTAATAAGTTGCTGCATTCCTCCTGCACCATGCCCTGTCTTTTGCCTTTCACTCATTAAAATGTCCTAATCTCATCTTTGGAGTTACTCTGTTTTGTACTTCTCACTCTTGCCCCCATCCCACTGAGGACAAGAGTGAGGAAGCAGCTGGTGGGTGCTTAGTTGCTGTCTGTAGTCCATACCTCAAATGGATATACCAATACTGGCCAAAACTCTTAAGAGCCAACTAGGCTGATGCCAATTTGAAATACTGATGTCTGTGGGCTAGGGATGGTGGGAGAATATAACAAATTGTACAGAGATAAACAGGAAGTTCAGAAAGAAAGTGAAGGATAGAATATTTTGGAAATGTTACCTGGGGTTCACAGTCTGGTTTTGAATTTTGTGAGGCTGGTGTAAAGACTGAAAGTCTTTATCTCCTCAAGTTAAGCATAATTTGTCCAAGCGTTCTTTCAGCACAACTCATCTGCTCAGTYCTGTTTTAAATGTATTGTCATAGACATTTAGAAGAATATTTTGACATGTTAATGTTAATAAGTAGGAGAACACTATACAAAATATGCAGCTGTGTTTATAGGTATGGGGAGAGAATATTATGTCAAATTATGGTAATAGTTATAAAATATTCAGTGACAGTGACAGCAATAGTTACAACCAGGACATTGATTTGTTGTCACTTTTGGTCTTACGTRCAATCTTTCTGGGTTTAGAAGACATGCAGTCTTTTTGGTTTATTCTCTGAAAATCTGGTTTTTAGGTTATCATCAAGAATATGGGTTGGAATCTCATTTCTCCTCTTGTCAGATGTATTTTCATGTATGAACAAGAAGATGAGAAGCGAGAATACTGCCTGAGGATACTAGATCAGTTGGCAGAGGTATGGTTTTGAAATACATTATTGTGATACAACAATGGTAGGGAAGTCCTGCACAGAAAGGGGTGCTAGATCATTAATCCACAAAGCTAATACACCAAAGGCCAGTTTTACAAACATTTGTAGAATTCAATTCTGACAATATTTGCATCATGAATCTACATCACTTGGATAAGCTGCTCTTGGTTTAATGTTCTGCCGCCTCAATTTGAAGGTACAGTGAATTCSAAATTCATGGTGCATGTTCAGTGGGTAGGACTCTTTCTTTGGAAGTGGTAGCCTGAGCATCAGAGATGGTTTTTTTTTCACATTATAATGAGCTAAGTTAATCTAAAGGACACARTCTTAGCTAACTTGAGTAAAACTTACTGTATGTTGCCAAATGCATTTTCTACTATCTAATTCAAGGTCTCTCTGTTCACGTTCTCTCTTTAGCTGTTTCAAAACTGTTCTAYAAGACCTTGAAATTTTTCACTTACCTGTGTCTGAATAGTATTTATTTTTCTATTTTCTATGATTCACTCTGCAAAGTCTTTTCKTTAAATCATTCATCCTTCTTCAATATGAGAATGATTACCTGATGATTCTGATGGAGTAGGAGTGGAAAAATGTTTTAATCTGTGAAACAARCTCATTCTCTTTCATTTATGCACTTCCAAAACAAGTTGCAAGCTTGAGTTAAATTCACACTCAAATTAGTCTTCTCTCTCTGCTCCTAAAGAGTAGTTTGCAAGGGTATGGAGCTTTTTACAGCTCAGGTTTAGTGTTAGTTTTTACTCTTACATGTTTTCAGCTCATATAAAAATGTACACACACACCTAGTCCATAGCAGACATTAATTGTAGGCAAGTACTTATTGTTCATACTTGTTTTCCTAAATCTTATCTCAGATGTTCAGATCTGCTCTCTTGACATTCAGGAATTTCTGTGTTGGAGTGGGGATTAATTTTTTTTTGTTATGACCATGGTTACCAGAAATATACATTGTTCCTCTCTTGCAGCTCTGCAATCCCAAGGAACTTTTTTTGGGTTTACTTGAGCAGATTGAGCAGACCTCTGGAGAGCAAGTGTGCCAAACTGTCATGTTATTGCTTCAGCCTTTGCAGACAGGTAGAATTCAGTTTATGATGTGATTTCTGAATTATTTTCTCATTTATATATCAATTTAGTTTAGCCTTTGCTGTAATGGTTGCAGAATATATCTGTCCTTACAGGCTTTACAGTCTGTTATATTCTGCAAAATAATACAAGGCACAAATTTCATGCTTATATTGGCCTGTTAGAATAAGCTTTTAGATGGGACTAAAAACATAAGCTGAAAAAGCAATATTCAGCTATTTTTTGTTATTTACAAGCATGTGGTCCTATTACAATTATATTTAGAGGTAAAGCACTCATGCTGTTGCAGAAATAGAGAATCACATGGATTTGTGAAATCCTTCATTATTTAACTTTTAAAGCATGCAATTCTATTTTTTTTCTACTATAAAACTTCCATTTCGATTGAAGCATGTTGAAATACTATAATGGTGATGGGGGAGTGGTTTTGAGGATTACATATGAAAATTTAAAATGTTGGGTTTGGCCATTCTCTTAGTAGGTAACAAGCAGTAGTTTGTTTTGTTATGTGAGATTAAATTAAGTGCTGTGTATCAAGTTGAAGTCTGATTGTAGCAATCTCCAAGATGTGTTATTGTATTATGTTAGAATTTAACGTGAGAAATTGTGGTTTTTTGGATAGCCAACCTGCAGTTAGTCTGCACTGAGTCCAGTTAAAGTGGAGAGCTTCTGGTGCTGCTTCCTCAGTTTGGAAGAATCTCTGTTGGTTTTGCCATGGAGTAAAAATCAGTTCTGAGCTGCCTCAGGTAGAGTCACTTCTCAGCAGAAACGCTGGGCCAYTGTCCCAGGCTTTGCCAAGCACAAAAGGAGTCTAGTAGTAAATGCATTTGCCAGGTCAGATACGTATTATTTCACTTAGCCCAGTTCTAGAAAAGTGGATATTTTTTTTGGTCCTCTTCATGGTGCTGTGAAGATGTTTAGTCTTGCTGGATTTGCTCATGTGATTTCAGGTATCAGTCCCTCTCCTTCCCTGAAAATCAAATGTTTTCTTATGTAGTCCTGTTTTTCTTCATGTTTTTCTCTACTAAGTAATAACTTAATTGTCTCCAAATGTTCTCTCTTCTTTTTCCCTTTTCTTTTTTATTTTCTTGCCTTCAGTGCTTTTGAAACTTCAGAACAAGAAGGCCTACTCAGTGGGTTTGTCATTGGCCATGATTATGAATCAGCTCACTCCCTTACCTGTACCTTATACAARACAACAAATACAAGAAGATAAACTTGGTCTCTGTCAATGTTGTAATGCAGTGGTGGACTTTGCTAAACCTTTTGTGAATGAAGTTGTTAAAAATATGGAAAAGTCATCAGAATACAATGATACGGAGCTGAAAGAAGAATTAGTAAAATTGTGAGCRTTTTATGTCAGTGTTATCTATTCCTGTAATGTGACAAAATGAACAGTAGCTATTTATTATATAGGTAGCAAATAAATCACCTTTTAGTGTTTTATAATGCTGCCAACATATATCTAACTAATGTGGCATTTTGACAAAGAACCCCTAAATAGGCCTTATATATTTATGAAGTGTGARAAGAAAAGTCAAAGCTAATTTCTTTTTAGTACAGGGAAATGGTAAAGAGTTATTAATTGCTATGTTGTAAAGCTGTTTGGTATTCCAAATTTGCAACAGTGAGGATAATCACAGTCTGAAGGTGAAGCCTAAGAAATGTTTCTATAGGAGATACGGTTTTGTTTTTTATTTTAATTCTCCTTGGAATACCTTGAATAGCAGCAGCTAATATGAATATAGGCATTGTTCTTGGTTGTCAATGATGCTATAGTAGTCTGTATTTATGGCTGCATTGATGGTTTAGTTCCACCCCTTTCTATTTCAGCTGTATGAAAAGCCTGAAATACCCATTATTGACAGCTCAGCTTGAAGAACTTGAAGGCATTGAAGAACATCCTTTTCGGCATTTTGCAACTGAAATTATAGTGAGTACCATCAAAATAAATTACAGTGTGTGCAGAACCAGTGATCTAGTTCATAATTGCCTGTAATTTGTTCTAGAGCTYATTTTGATTGGTTAGTGGGGTGACTTGCTGGGCCTTGTGAGATATATCCTGCCTTTCCTGTTGGGCACTGTCCAAACCCATGTTTTTAATGCTAATTATGAATTGCCTTTTCTTCTCTCTCAAGAAATTTACCTCTGTTTATGCCATTAGGTAGTGAGAGCTGAASCTAAGTTCAGTAAGTCATGCTTTGACTGTCTGACATCTTGTGTAATCCTAATTTTCCAAAATGTGCCATTCTGGATGTTGGGTTTGGACAATGCCAGAATAGTCAGCTGACCCTGATCTCCCGTGTGAAGGGCTTGGGGGGTAACCACAGTAGTGTTTTTGATGCACAAATGTCTGGTGTTCTTGTGTTGTGCATCACGGGACAGAAAGCCATACAAAGCAATTCAATTCTAACTTACAGCAGGGCTTGCCTTTAGCAGCTAAACGTTGTGTTCTGTATTGACTAGTGAGAAAAAAACCAAAATATTGAGTTTTCTGAGGTCCAAAAAACACAGGGATCCTATGGTATAATGTGTTTTTGAACGCATTGTTACTCACAGCATTGGAAATAAAGGRGCTGATCTGGGAGTTTGCAGGTTACCTTTCTTTTGCTAATGTTTGTGTCCTTGACTTTGGTACCTTAGTAACATTCTTCTAGATAACACTAGTTATTTTTCCTGCAATTTTTGGTGTGTTTGTGCATTTATAATAAATATCACATTTATATTAATTTATATGTTATAAATACAACATAATTATAGTCATTTATATGCATATTGTACAAGAGAATGTACTGTAAATACAATTAGGGCTTTAAAACTTAATTGGTATACAGGTATTGTAAAGGCAACTATAGGAAATCTGTATTTCTTTCTTAGGGTATTTTGTGGAACATAAGAGAATTAATACCATTGGTGTTTGCACATCATAAAGGCAAAATGCCACCCTGGGAGAATCAGGAGTTTGCAGACATAGAGCAGAAGGATTCYGCTGATTCTTTGGCCTGTCTGTCGTATCTGATGTTTGTTCAGCACTTTGGTGTCGAATGTTTTCCAATGGTTTTTAGGTAAGAACTATTCTTTCTCATAAGTGTGTGGTAAGAGGATTCTGTGACTGTGAAGATTCTTTCTGAGTGGGAGAGAACTTTGTGAATGGCTATGAATAAAAACTGAGTATTTCACTAGTGTTAATTTTATGTCAACCTTTGTGCATTTATATTTCATGTAACTTACAAAGAATATATTGTTGCAGATTACTGTATTGTAGTTTAATTTTAGATGAGCTGTCCTTTAACAGAAACTGGTATGATAAGCCAATGTGCTGAAAATTAATGTGCATTAAACGTTCATTTACATATATATAGACAGTTCTTAACAGTGATTTGACTTACAATTTTTTGTCTATTTAAAAATTAATAATTTTAGGATGATATTTTAATTTTTTTAAGAATACTAATCTTGTCAAATATATTAATTAGGTGCAAAAGTAAATGACTTATGCGGTTTAATGTAGCTTAATTCTTCTCTTCTAGTCCATCATACCTTCTGCTATCCAATATGCCGCATATTGAAGTGCTGCTGAAAAGGTAGGCTTTGTGGAATTTGCAGGTTTAGATAGTGTGTGGGATCTTTTACAGTAATTCATAAAATCAAATTTGTAATTTAGGTGAGTTCAGAGGATGTTTTTAAACTTAAGCATTAAAATAGCAAATTCCACTATAAGATGGCTTCTTTTACTAAGAAGTAGAAGTTGCCTAAACGTTTATACATAGTTTTCATTTTGTATTGTGATACCATTTCTAGAAGCTTTATTCTGAAAATCTAAAATTAAGGTAAACACATGCAGAATAGTTTCAGTGTATATGTACCTGCATTTCTATTACAATTATTACTAAAGGCAACTATTGTGATAATATTTATTTGAATGTATTCTGACATGATATGCAAAATGATAAAAGGTCAGAGCTTCTAGAGGAAATCGAATTTATATATATATTGTGATTATTTCACTTTCTGTAAGCAGCACTTAGCAAATAGCTTCTAGCACTGCTGTGGAAGTCAATTTTCCTATTATGACTGCATACAATTTCATTTTCTTTGGTAATTGGTGTCTCAAGACCTGTGAGAGATGGCACTACTTTTGAGCACTTAAAAATACTGAGGGGAAAAATAGTAATTTTTGACTGTTAAGAGATGAGTCTAATGTTCAAGTCCTCATCAGCAAGTTTATTCTAAAAATCTTTGAGAAGAGTAATGAAGATTCTATGTTCAGGAAATAGCATGAAAGTTGTTGAGGGGCAAGTTCTTGTTGACCTGTTCTGCTATTTCTTCTGAAATATCAACTGTTTTAAATGAAGAACTTAAATTTGTTTTCTTTTTTTCTAGAACAGAAGAATCTATATTATCTAAAGGACTTGTAAGTTGTTTTTTTAAATTAAATTTTCAATGTTAGAATGTTTTATTTTTTCAATATAAGGAATGGTAAAACTTCCATTTCCCCTTCTAGAGAGGTACAACTGATAGTTCAGATAATAGTTCCAGAAATATTTGGAGGCTTAATTAAGTTCTTCAGTCTTACAAATACCTGTATTTATTGAACTTCACAGTCCTGCATAAATGTTTAAATTACAGCTACCCCCATATTTGCAGCTGCTAGGAATGTGCAGTATCTGAATGAGTATAAGTGAAGGCTGTTTTAGCCATGAAATGCTAAGCTGATACATTAATGTCCTGTGCATAGCGTTGGCAGCTTCCTTTTCTTTTCCCCACCTGCAGGATCTGTTCGAGAGCTGTTTACTGAGAATGGAAGATAACAGCCTTCTCCATCACTATTTGGAATTCAGAGACTTCATTAATGTACCTCAGGTAATAAGCAATGTACAGAAGTCTTCGAAGTTTGATTAGAAATAATTCCTGGCTGTCCTCTGGGTGTTTGAGAGAGGGCATATTACTGGACCTTTAGACACCCCTGCTGTTAAATTCGTATCGTCAGTGTCTTGCTATACAGAATTGATTCTCTTTTCTATCTGCTACAGCATGAAGTTTCAGTGACAATTAAAATACACCTATGTACAGGTCACTGAAGCAGGTGGGCACAGAGCTTAGTTGGTGCTTGCTCATTTTTGCCTCTTCCTTGTCAATCTGCTGCATGACCACAGCCTTATCTGGAACCAACAGTACAAGAACAGTGTTCTTGTATATTAGCCCTGGCATTYTGACCACTGTAGTTAGCATGAATTTCTCTCATAACAATCTTCCCATAATCACCTGGTCATTCTCAAGTGGGTTTTTTGTTTGGTTGTTTTTTTTTAAAGTCTGGAGTAGTTTTAGTTACTGTGATGTAATGTAATAATTGGCATACAATTATAAATTATATTTCCTTTGACTGCAGGATTTGGTGAAAATTATGACCCTTTGTCCCATGGAGAATATGGTACGTTAAGAAGCCGACAGAATCAGTTAAGTGCTGAACTAATTTCTGTAGAATTCATCTGATAAACATCTCTGTTTTCTTTAGAGAAAGAAGAGTTTAAATATTTTGCAGCTGTTCATAGACAAGTTTGACACAGAGGGAAAATACACTTTATTCAGGTATGCTTCCAAGTTACTGTAGATTGTATAATATTAGCCTTAGTGCAGCTTAATTGCATAGATACAATGATTTCTGACAGAATTTCCATCTGATAAACCACATTAAGTTTACTATGTTAATTTTTTGATAAATATTGAATTTTGATTACTTCTTATAAAATTAGCTTATGTAAGCCAGTGTGTAAAGGTTACATAGTCATACTGTTTTTCTGTGTTAAAACTCCCACTTAGTGAATATTATCTAAGTTTTGAGCTAACTCTGTGGGCAGCTTTAAAGAGATAATATCTTCATTTTGTTTGTTTGAAGGTGTTTACTGAAGACAAGCAACCATGCTGGTGTGGAAGGATACATTATTAAAAATATAAARGATCAGATTCACTTAGCGTTAAAGGTGAGGCTGTTACCAATAGAAAACTAGTTGCCATCTCAAAATTCTGTCAGTATTATGTTAAGCTGTATATCTATAGCTTAAACTTTGAGTGATGCATCAAAAAAAATCCACTTTTAAAAGAAACATAAAATTGGAAAATTTTAATAAAAACATTACTTTGGCTTTTTCTGTGCGTACATATTTAGATTATAATTTTACAGTTTTTAATTGCACAATCTTATTGTATTTTTCTAAGGTGTTATTGCCTTTTCTGTGCTTGAAAATACATTTTTTTCTTAAAGTGGAATGGCTCAGTATATTGTTTTATCCCTACAGTTCCTCATTTCTTTAATATAATTAAAATATTACAATTCAGGTAGAATTCCTAATTTTTTCTTGGCTTTTATGATGACAGTTAGAATTTTATTATGAGTGATTTGCAAATGATAAATCCGTCAGGAAGGATTGAGCTAGATCAAAGCCATTTTAATCTCACATTTTATAATAATTTATACCAGAAAGTTGGGGAAATTAATTAAAACTAAAGCATTAGCTTTTTACTATGCAACTTCAGAATTCTCTTACTACATTTCTTTCCTGGCCGTCAAAAAGACACATAATTTTAAAATTATGAAAAGGCTGGTTTGTGTGCTTCACTCACAGATGATAATTAGAAAACCGATCTTCCAGTGTTTTATTTTTTTTTTTAATTTTATGTTTCATACAAATTATTGTTTAAGTTATTATTTAAGTCCTAAATTTTGCACTCAGCTAAACTTTCTGTATTTTTTTTTCAGAAGGAATATGACAACATTTGGTTTACAGGACATCACCTGATCTCCCTTCTAGATTTAGTACTTTCACTTCCAGAAGGTGCTGAGACTGATCTTCTGCAAAACTCAGACAGGTGAGTTGTAATCACAGAGGCTTTCTCCTTTATCATTTAAAAAGACTTCAAGGTACCTYATTACATTGATGTGTATGGTCATTTAATTAATGAGGGGACAACATATATGTATTTTAAGTTTTTGGAACTAAAACTGGAAATGGTCACTTATTTCAACCAGCTCGGTGTAGAAGAATGTCACAATGCCATTATATTAATTTTTAACAATAAAAAAGTGTTTACCCGTCCATTCCCTGAGGATGTAAGACTTCAGATGGGAAATTGCATAATTAAAGGGTAAAGCATTATTTCTTCAGGTATGGTTTGTCAGCTCTCTGCAGAAGCATTTGGAGGAATAAAAGCAATGTGGTATATTATCTAATGTGATACAGGGGATTAACAATTATCAGATGCAGCTTACAGTGCAAGGCATTTTTGAGGCTGTTTCACAGATTGCTGCTGGGAATCCTGAGTAGGATTACAGATTCACATGAACAGTAAATAACTGCATTGAAAAATTTTTAAAAATAACTGAAATGTCTCTGCAAATCTCCTGTATATAGGRTAAGTCTTCTTATATAACGAGTGACATGATGATGCTTGGGCTTGTAAATCAGTGGGGTGATAATGTCCAGATGGACACATACCTGCTTAAAAAAGCCTAGAAGTATCATGTGTATAATTTTTATTTGGAAAAAACAATAAATRATTTCTGCTCAAAAGTATGGTAAAATAAAAGCAAAAAACTTAAACTAAAAAGCATTCAAAAGTAAAGATTCAGTGCAGAATAAAACTGTCACACTAGATTAAAATCGACTTTGGATCACTAGTGATGGATATGATAAATTCTGTGATAAGATTCTGTCTCTTCAGAGAACTGTTTCCCTCACCATCTCCAGCCTTCTCCAATCAGATGACAGCTTCAGTGTTACTTGCAAAGTGAGAACTGTTCTATGGGCATCAGACTGGTGCTCTAGATGAAGCTGTACTGCTCAACAGATTGGGGTTTGCTTTTTGTACGAATGGATACTCTTAGGACATCTGGCTAAGGGACAACTTAAATGGCTATCCTGCTAATAGTGCTCTAGGTTATAAATGGTATGTTTTTAATTTACAGGATTATGGCATCACTAAATCTGCTGAGGTACTTAGTCATTAAGGATTGTGAAAGTGATAATCAAGTAAGTACTAATTGATTTGATAGTCATTGATTAGCTGAGAGCTGGATTCACATGAACACTTTTCCATTATTCAAATAGAATGGTTTTTGCATTTTTCTTTGCAATGGTTAACTTCAAAGAAGTGATGCTTTTGTGAAGACATTGGGAAGTATGTGTTATGTTCCTTTATKCTGATGAAAAATCTTGCATATATACTGTTACTGTAAATAAACTAATCCTTTTACTCTGTGATCTATGTCCATAACATTAGAGTATGCCACCACAAAATCACATACCCAGCTAGTGTTCCCATATGAAAAAAATTGTTTTCTTGCTTATTTATTCACTGGTATCCCTCAAACCTCCAAGTGGATTTCTTTATAACAATAATAATACAATAATACATTTTTATGGTTTCTAAAATACAGAAAAAAAATCTCATCTATTTTTAGACTAATTTGAGATCTAGGARTAAGTTTTCTAAGTGCCTAATAACATTACTAGTCTAAGTAGAATAGCAGTGAAATAACTGGCACTGATCGCCAAAACTAATGAAAATGAAAAGCAAAAAAAGCTTTTAGTGGGTGCATTTCTAATTCATTGTTTATGTAATTAGTTAATATTGATAGACTATATCTGTTTGTCATGTTTAATGGGTGATTACTCTTTAAGTACTCATGATGGTTCACTCTGTTGCAGGTAAATACATAGCTTTGTAAGAAAAGTAAGAATTCCTCTTTTATTCCTACTAAAAAATCACATACATTAGCACTCAGCTGCTCTAACAGTGCTGCCTATTACCTGGCAAAAAGAGTGTCTGTACAGTTTGAGGGAAAAAAAATAGCATCACATCTTCTGAAGATTTTCCCTTAAATTTAGGCTCTGTCAGTTCTTCTTGACTTCCTCTCTATCTTCATTTAGTGCAAGTGAGGCAGAAAGAAAATGCCTCCTTTCATGTCAGTTCAGATATTTTGATTGCTGTGTAACAAGCATTTTCATTAATCAAGTTTAAAAATAAGCTTTTTTCTATAAAGTTCCTTTTTTAGCCATGTTCTGGTGGAAGTAATTACTGATCTTCTTATTTGAATGGTTAACTTTGTGTCATTTAGTATTAAAATTCAGTGAATTTCCACTGTCATTAGTGAACTCACTGTATTTAACATTGAAAATTCTTATTTTTATCATCCTTATTCTGCCCCGTGAGGATACTGCCTGAAGAAAGGAGTTGTTGTATAAATGGCTCCTATATCTAAGGACACAAAGGCTGCTTTRTATTTGTTTCCTTCTACAGCAGTTTTGTAACTACAAGCTTATTTTCCTCTATGTAACCGTGAACAGCCTTGTTTTTGATCATCTTTTGAGCATCTTGTACCTTTTGCTTCCTGAGTGCCATTATTATGAGCTCCTTCTTTCCACCCATGCTAAACTGGGGAGTATTTCATTGTCACTGTGGTTACTGTGCTGAAGGATGGGACAGTAATATTCTCACAAAGCCTTTCAAATGCAATATAGACATTTAGAAGCATGATATTTATCAGAACTTTCATTTGGCATCGCAATACACTGTTGAATCAGTAATATTAATTTAAATACATGTTCTGTTTTGCTGCTGAATTACCTGAGAGGAGCCTACACCTGCCATTTACTTGCTGTAGAGATTCTAGCCTGAGGAAGGGTCTAGAACCTCTCCTCCAGATGATCAAGACTCTTTCAGCTTTGCTTACAAAAAGAAGCTGAAAATGTGCATTTCCACTGCTGTAGTTAGCAGCCTACATACTAAATCCTCCCTCCCTCTGCCCCCCCCCCCCCCCCCCCCCCCCCCCGTTTTTTTTTGACTGCTTCATCGTCCAAACAACAAACAAAGTAAGGGAGAGGAAGAGGAGCCTGAATATACATCACAATGCTGTTTATGCCTAAATGCATGTCTGAATTACTTCTTTTTCTCTCTTCCTCCCACCAGAAGTGTAAGTTACAAAGACTAGTCAAAAAACTTGTACTCAAAAGCTTAGTATTGCAATGCTTCATGAAAACTATTTTGTAACCTTCTCTGTTCTGTTTGAATAGACCGGGGTATGGACCACACTTGGCAAGATAGAGCAGAACTTCTTAAAGCCACTGCGTGTAGGACTCAATATGTCCAAAGCRCATTATGAAGCAGAAATAAAAAATAAGAAAGAAAACAGAAAAGGTTAGTTTTTGTTGGTTTTTTTTGTTAGCTTTTGTTGTATCTAGAAGCTTTGGTAATCCTTTGGAAATTAAAAACTGGTGAATAAGGTCTAGATGAGGTTTTATTTAACTGTTGACACTCTTCTAAACTTCAAATAATAATTCAGTAGTTGATATATAAAAAATTTTTGTAAGTGATCAGGAAAATCTGAATTTGATTATCTGTCATCACATTTATAAATCTTACGGAAACCTAATAGAACTACCACATGAAGACCTTCAGAGCTTGTTCTGCATTTATACTTTYGATATTGATCTTACAAAGAAGCAGCTCAGTCTCTCTGAATACATAACCCTTAGGTTTCATACCAGGTGTGGGGGGGTTAATATGAGAAGAAATAAGTCACACAGTGCTCTCTAAAGCCTGAAGCACTACTTTTTTTTTTTTTTTTTTTTTTTTTTTTAACCTGACACACAGAATCAGATTCTGCTCTGGGTTAAGCAGACACATTACACGAGGCACAAGAGCTGTAGCTGCTTTAGGCAATCTCTCTGGATGTCAGATCCTCTGTTCCTTGTGGTCTCCAGGATAATTAAAACAGCCCAAGGAATTTGTGTCTGCTACTGAAAATGTCAATACAGYTTTTTGCCCCTAGTCTTATCCTCTTCTGTTGAAAACTGTGTAAGTATGAGGCAAAGAAGGGTATTTTTTTTTTCTCAAGACAACCTGTGGATATCTTTCTTAAGGGAATCCTTCAAAATTAATCAGGAAGCTTTTTCTTAAGTCCCTCTTACATGTCTCTAGTGTTTGACAAAGTATAAAGATATAGAGAGTTTGGAGAGAACATTTAACAGTAAGTGGTTTAGCTTTCTTCCCCAGTGTATAATCTTTGTAAGCATTACATTGAATTTCAAATATGTGGTCTGAATGTAAGAGGTTTTTGCCTTATTTTTCAGAACTGTCCTTGTAGCTTAGCCTGCTGCAAGTAATCTGTCTGAAACAGAAGCCTGCAGCCTTTTCTTAATAAACTAAGTATTTTATGTCTGGATTAAATTTAAAGAACCTCCTACTATCTCCCTGGATGTGGAAATATTAAAAATGTATCAAAAACTGACCATCTAACATTTTATTTTTCCCTTCATAGAGTATGTGAGCTCTCTAAAATTGGTTTTCAGTTACAGATCTTGCCCRTTTAGTGATGTAGGCATTTGCGTTACAGAAAATGTAAAGACAGTTGGATTTTAATGCTATATTCCTCTTAAAATTTTGCATCCTCTCTCATGCATTTCATCAATCTGTAGATTTCTATTCTTAACAATTAATTAACAATCATAAAATGCCAATATTTTCAATATTCTTTTAATTCTAACAGTCATGTTGGTTGTTTTCTTCTACAGAGGCACACAGTTCTAAGACAGTTTGCTCTCTAACTGTTAGTGGGGAAAAGATGCCTGCCATGACTACTGGAATGCAGCTTCAAGTGAGTTTGCACTTCTCTTCAGAGTCACTCAGAAGTACTGGCATTTTTTTTTCAATGTGGAGACAAAAGTAAATGTACAATGGGTAAARAAAATCTGATAAAAGTAACATTCATCTTTCTTGTCATTTCAGGTTTTACACTCAGCTCTCTTCACATTTGATTTAATAGAAAGTGTTCTAGCGCGAGTAGAAGAACTCATTGAAGCGAAAACAAAAGCTGTAATGGATGAAAATAGTTAAGTCAGCTGAAGTGTTTGAATTAACATACTCCTCACAAGATCATTTGGACTATGAGACTTCAATTACAAAGAAGGCCACCACCTGTCAAAGAAGAGCAATTTTGAGTGGCCTCCTCCAGAAGAATAGCAAATACTGCTCTTCATAAGTCTTGTTGCTGTTCTTCATTATTTTTGTTTGCTATTGTTGCATGGGATTTGCAGATATGGTCTATTTACTCGTCTTCGGAATTTGATGCTTTTTCTTACATTTAGAAACTAAATACAAGGCAGGGGTTCTACCTCTTTAGCAAGGAGGTATGGCTGGGCATTTATTTTTTTTTATTTTTCAGAATTTGTTAGGTAATAGTTGCTGACTGGTGTTGTGAATTACAGAGATTTTTATCAAGTGACTGAAGAACCATTAATTAAACAGCCCTGTTTAAGCATAAGGTATTTTTATTAGCGTATTTTAATGTTGACAAACAAGCTTCTATGTTTGCAAACAGGACTGCAAGGTACAGATAGATAACAGTATAGAATATACTATCTATAAATAGTAAGAACACTGTGGCAAAGGAAACCAGGTTAAAAGAAAAACATATCAACGTTGAGCCAAATAAGACGTTAAAACATAGTAACATAACAGAGAACAGTTCTGTTTAAAAARCAGTGTAAGGTTTTATACATACAGCTGCTTATTCTTGGGAAGCCTGAATTTTGGAATTGTTTTGATCATCCTTATCTTTAATCATACAGTTTTTCTTAAGATACAATAAATATTTTGGGAAATTATTTATAAACAATTCAGAACCAAGATAAAAGTAAGGATGTCTTTTCTATAGTGCAGCTATACCACTTTTCCCCCCTTATAAAGTACATTTGGTATCAAGTATGCTATTTTTCACTGTATAGTTATTTAATATGAATTTTCATTCCAAAGGCATATGTTGTATGTAGTCTTTTGAAATGTAACTATATTTTTAAGAACATTCTATATTTTGTTTAAAATGTAGCCAGTCTATGAATAAAAAAAAACAAACACTAAGTTAATTACAGTGCAATTGGTACTCCTGAAGCATCTTCCAAACTGGACTTTTTTCTATTATTTGGGCTTTTGTCATTTCCATTTTGCCGTGAGTRTCATCTGCTTGTGGCTTTGAAGTTACCTTAGAGAAAAGAAAAATATTATGAGTCAGACACAGTGACTTTAAGGTAATAGAATATTCAACATTTTGTTTTTCCAGTAGAAGAAACGCAAAATTATTGAGCAGTAAAATCTGAATCTCGTGTTCTGCAGTAGATGTTCAGGAATGATGTACACAGAGGTGATAGTATTTCAACAGGAGTTAATAGTAAATGAAGACATCCTAACYTAACAGTGGTAAGTAAGAGCCAAACTGGCTCTTAAGTATCTGATTTGTTTTCTTAGATACTATTAAGAGCTATTAAGTCACCTTTAATGGCTGTTTAAAGACTCAGCTAAAGCATCAGAGTACCAGTCCTACCTCAGTGTATTAATGGACCATGGTCAGTATAACCCAAAAAGTTCCATTAAGGAAAACGAAATATTTTACAGMTCTTGGCTTTTCCTGAATAATATACTAACATTTTTAAGTATATGCAACGGAACTTACCTTAGCCATAGTTAGCATTAATTTAACAGTTTCAGCAGGATTATGAACTGGTATTAYACGTAARTTACTGCTCAGGAATCTGCACATTAAAATAAATAAGGTTACTTTTAGAATGTATGTTTAATTTGTTATAAAACTCAAACAGCATTCCCACATGATGTAAACAAGATTTTACTGTGCAATTTTACTTACACAGAAGATTGCTTTTATCTTGAAAGGCAAGTGGAGCATTCATGCTGTCTGTAAAGCCATCTGTCCCATTTCTGTACCAGTTATTTAGGTGGGATTTGGAAGGGCTCATTTCTTTATCTAGGTCTCTTCAACAATCAATCAGCATTTCTTAAGCATGTGTACATTCAGACAGAACTAAACCCTCTTCTGTGATATTGCTGAGGGCTTCTCAGTGGCACTAAAAATATTTGGGTTGTTTGTATAGCTTTGGAAGAATACAGCAAAATATCTAAAAACACTGTGCTAAAAATACTTCAGTATCTGAACTAAATCTTTGTAGTGTTCTATAAATAAAACAACCTGTATTCCAGACACGATTAAGATAATGGATAATTCCACTACTATCATATAAAGACTTGTTCATTCAAATACTTCAACCTAAAATTCATTCTTTCTATAAATAGTGTTATTGATATGCATTAATTCTTGAGAATGGAATCTGAAGACTTAAAATAGTAGCATCAGTTGTCATTCAATGCACTTATGGAAGAGAGGGATCAAAGCTTAGGTAAGCACAGGGCCTCTCCTTAAGACTTGTACGTTAAGTGTGTTGTAACAATGACAATGTTAGCTTTGCTGCTGTTTGCTGTTTTAGAGCTAAAACAGGAGAGGGACTTAACAGCAAAGAATAAGGAACATTAAATAACCAAAATGAATTTAAATAATGCAGATGAAGTGCCCAGCTGCTCAGTTGCATAGTCCCCTGTGACCTCCCCTTGTGCCTACCACCTGTTCTTCCCTGCAATCTGTCTGATGACTTGGACTCATTCACATTAAGACCTCATGCTGGTTAGGTATCTCATCTGAACTTGTCTGCCCTTGTTTCTAATTAGCAAAAATAAATGTTACAGGCACTGTCCTTCTCTAAGCATAGGCCGTCAGGTCACTGTTGAGTTTTGCTAATATATGATGTAGGAACAAGGCCTGGACTTACATTTAGAGACTAGGGAAATAAATTGATGCAATTTTGCTAATACTAGAATGGGCTAAACAAAGCATTAATGAACAATAAAATGTACTTAACCAAGATTCATGAAAATCTGTTTCTATAAATAGTTTTGCTTCCCATAACAGCAGGTCTAAATTTAGTTTTATTAATTTGATTGATGGACAGAATRCTGGGCATTTGAACGTCTGGCCTTTCCTCAAAGGTGTAAAACTTAACACAGACCTAGCGAGGTTATTAGTGGAATGCTCATTTAAGCTGTGCTGATAAGCACTACTCTGCTCCTGCTTCCCCCATGTTACATGTAACCCTACATAAAGTGCTCATGTTAACAAGAATCCCATAATTTTCTTGTTAATAATAAAAAAAAACCCTTCCCCAACTGCAGCAAAACCATAGATAAGCGGAAAGAAGCAGCAATGGAAGAAAACCTGGCAATACTAAAGGGGTTTGTTTCAAAGAACATGGCACAATACAGCTGGCTTGTAGTTTCAAAGAACATGGCACAAGTTTCAAGTTTTCCCACCACTGCAGAACCTCAGTGGTTTACAAACAAGAGCAGAACTCCAAGCTGTCAGGTAGGAAAAAAAGGACATGCATTTAAAAATGTAGATAGATACAATGGTGCCTTGCCAACATCTATTTGATATTGCTTGTAACGACAAAACATCTTTTATTTTAATAAAACTACTGACTTGCCAAATGGAATACTGTTCCAAAACATCATAGTTTAGTGATCAGCATGTGCACAAAATCCACTGTACATAACCACAAAGCAGATTGAGAATTAGCATTGCCATCAGCTGAGTAACATGCTGGTCCTGCTGAATGATGGCTGAATTTTTAAGACATCTCATGAAAATTTATGGCATTTTCACAAACAGGTAATAGATTTCTTACATTTCATCTCATACACTCTATTAATCAGCATTTGGCAGTATGCTGAGGATTTAATGAAACTGGTGTTAGTTACCTCAAGGAGGTAAAGATCAAAGACTTCATTAGAATAGTCACTTCTTTGAGGCCAAGAGTGACAACTGCATTTAGGGCTACTGTATCTACTAGAAAATAGTTCTGAATASAGGCATGGAGCAATCTGCTCACTGTTGTCAGCAGGTATGTACTGAAATATGCACGTTTTTAGACCTGATTAGAAATCCCATATAAAAATCACAAAACAATTTTAATGTCCAGTTTTATACTTTTTGGTATAAAATGAGATTGGTTACTTAATTGTTCTAGTGCAGTATAATAGATACTGTTCCAAATAAASAGATTTAAAAGCTGGTAAAAAAATCTGCACTTTACAATAAAGCCTTTTCTCATGATGTAAACTTGCCTGTTGTTTTGCAAATGACCATGAAAAGATGGTGACAGARCTAAGAAAATGGTCTAACTTATCAATTTGAGAAAAAAACTTTWAAAAAAATTATATTGCATAGCCCTAAAGTGATTGAAAGGAATCTTATTTGCAGTGTTTTGAGGAACATCCTCTTTTGTTACTTATAKCAGATTGATTCACTTGGTATTATTTTTAAATGCTATTAATAAGCAAATACTTTCAATAACTTTACTTTCACAAAGGGTACAGCTGGAAGGGAYCACAGTTCGTCATCTCATCCAACCTCCCTACTCAAGCAGCATCATCCCAGAGCATGTTGCACAGGATTGTGTCCAGATGCTTCTGGAATATCTCCAGTGAAGGAGACTCCACACACTCTCTGGGCAACCTGTTCAGGTGCAATCACCCACACAGTAAAGAAGTTCTTCCTTATATTCAAGTGAAACTTCCTGTGCATCAGTTTCTGTCTATTGCCTCTTGTCCTAATAATTTCTAAAATAGTATTTCCAAATSCAAGACTGCTATTTCATTTCTTCTTGACAATGTAAAGTTCAGTTATGTTGAAACCATACCTTCTCTGAATCCTGAACATGACACTCCATTCTTCTGGTCCATGAAGAGCAGCTGACAATACCAAAAAGCTGTTCCGATGAATGTTTATGAACTTCTGAATTCTTCTGGAAAACTCTTCTTCCCCTGTCATAAGCAAGTCTTGAGTGTCTGACAGTATAAATGCAATACCTATTGAGGAAACGGGTGTAAATGTACAGGTCATGGCAGTAATGGGATCAAGTTCTCACCACAAAGTGGGATGCACAGCCATGTATACTAAAGATCTTGATGGCAGCTTACATGTTAGTAGCATTTAGCATGTTTGCTCAGTTAAAACACAAATTTACTGAACTGTTCAGCTGATAATCACAAAATCTCATGTAGCTCTTCTACAGTGTCCAAAAAAAGTAAAAACAATGGAAGCGTTTAATCCCCAGCATCCTCTGTTTCATCCTCTGATTTACATACAGTCACAGCATAGCTCCTTCCACTACTGCACATCCAACAAGGCAGATTTTATTAAGTTTAGTGTAGCCCACAACAGGGCCTGACTTTATATCTCTGTAGCTTATGATTTAAAAGCATAAACTTTAAAGTACTGTACCAGAAAGAGGAAAAATCACAGATCCGGTTTCCACTGATTCTGAATATCGAACTCGGTGTTGTTGCCTCTGCAGAACTGTAGAAATTTCATGATCCTAAATAAATGTTAAAGGGTTATTTTGAAAATTTTTCAGCACAAGTTAGAAATATTTTTAAAGCTTCATCTGAGCCATTACAGATAGACCTTTAGCACTGTTGTTCAAAAAGTGTTTTTTATTCCACTTAAAATTTAAAAAAAGTACTAAAATACTAAACACATTTGATTAAGGAAATTTTGACCTATTTGATTGGAAGTTACAAGCTGACAATTCTGTATGTACATTCAGTTTGTCTCAGGAACTCTTGCATAATGCATAAAGAAGCTGAAACATTTAGAGTCTGTTTTGGGAAGATGTGCTAAAGCAGGATTTGCAGAAATGAGGATCATACAGTAGTGTGTTTCTATGACTCCAGTTAATTAGGCTGCATTATTTTCACAGATGTCAGCATCTCAGCTGGAAAATCGTTCAGAAATTCTGTATGGGACATGATTTTCTTTAAAGCTTTTTGACAGAATGCAATCCACACAGGAAAACTAAACTAGAACATTCCACTATGCAGCATAATCATCTACAGAATGGAATATTTGGATGTATTTTTCAGCCTGTCTGCAGYATATCCTACAGAAGCTGCACGAACACACATTTATTAAAGGTTAAATCACTGAATCCTTTTTAGCTAATAACATGTTCTTTAACCTACCCATTCAAAACACAGCCAGCCTGCTTATACAGGAAAGTGGTGTGWTTTAGTGGAAGAGTACAACAGAATAGCAAGTGAACCTTGAAGGAGACAGTAASCAGAAATGTCACGCTTTCAATTGATCTGGAAAGGGAACACTCAGTGGCAACTGCTTGTAAGGTGGAAACATTTTGGAAAAAAATCTCAGCTTCAAAACCACTGCTGAATTATTTAAAGTATAAGTATAAATAACAGCTATTTGCAAATGATAGCTGCACAGGAAAAAGAGAAAGCTCATAACCACAACTGATACAGAAAAGCCATCTTGGATTTGTATTCAGTTATCCCCATTGCTTTGCTTATGAAGAGCCCTTACTAACAACTGTAGTTTTGAGTAGAGCAAGGGGAAGGAGTGAGTTATGCAGGTGTAGCTGATGAAATCACTGCCATCCATTACCTCTCACCATATTATGGCACAAACAGGCACAGTTTACAGGCCGTAAATTCCAAAATGAGGAGGCAAGTAAGAATAGGCTTCAAACTGAGGTAATTCAGGAATTAATTCRCCACGGTTTGCCCATTTACACAGCTGCGATGGGGTGATAACCTTGTCAGCCAAGCTAGCATAAGATATCCTTGCTTGTGAATCAAAGCTCTCTTGCCTCTAAATTCTCGCCAGCTGGCATGAAATTGGCCTCAGCTGCAGATGCTAATTGCCAGCTCCTTGACATACCCTTTCACTTTGCTTGGGAACAGAGTCAAGGCTTCTGGTGTTAACAGAAGATAAAAATATAAATTAAAACCTGTAAGACTCAATATTTTAAACAGAATTATGTAGTTACTGAGTAATTTCTAACCCCATGTTGATACAGTATAGGAAAAAAATTTAGTATGCAGGGAGAAATTCAGAAAATTCAGCAAGGTTTCTGATGGAATTATTTATAGAGCAAACTGAAAGAGGAATCAGTGCAGTGCAAAAACGATGAGTCAGGAGAACAATCCTAACGCAGTGTAACTCAGAATAGCAGGTGGCAAGAATACTAAATAGATATGGAAGTAGCTAGGAGAATATACAGATACACACAAAAAGCACCAGYATTCTAGTAGAAGCACTTCAGAAAAAATGTCCCTTTTTATCCTGAAAAGACTGTATTCACTGACATCGAATAAAATATTTCCATATACAGAATATAGGAAATGCTTCTTTCAGCATTTCCTAATGAGTCAGATGCTGATCTTGACAAGTGTTATCCTACCTGCAGAGCTGAACTCATAATGACCGTCGTTAACCATCTTGACTGCTCCTGTCCACAACTTTCTGTCATTTTCCCCAGTGGTTTAATTGCTTTGCAGTGAGATCTCTGGTACCACTTCTGAAAAGTTTGGGAAGAGACGACAAATATTTCCTGCCAATTAACGAGGTGATGGGCTTAAAGCACACGGACACATTAAAGATGTGATTAAAAACCAGGGCACTACTCAATTCTCCCATCTCTAACAGGTGCCCACTGTCATTGAGCTAATTTAATATGGCAATTAGATATCGAAATGGCTTTGAAGAATTTGCATCTGGGCAGGTTTCCTCTGTAAAGCATAACTTTCATCTGAGAATATTCCTGGATGTGCAGCCTGGCAGGCGTTTGTGTRTCCACAAGGCTCATGTGGAGCACTTTAGGACACCGCAGCGCCCGACAGGAGCGAGAGGCAGCCCGGAGCCTGGGCCTGGATGGTTCCCGCAGAGCCTTTGTGGCAACTGTTCCCAATGCCAGCTTTACCCGGTCCTTTCCCCGATCTAAAACCTGTTCTGGTGCTGGACTGTTTACCCGTGGCACCTCCGGGAGGGCGGGCGGGAGAGCGGGAGGCCGGCAGGAGGTGGGGAAGGGAGCGAGAAGCCCTCAGCCCCGAGCCCTCAGCCCCGATCCCTGAGCCCTCAGCCCTCAGGAGGCGCCGCTCGGCGCTGGAACCAAAGTCTCCAGGGAATATTCTTAATGGCGGCTTAATTCTGCAGCTGTTTCTGGGGAAGAATAGTCCAAGATGTTTTCTATAGAAGTTACATAAACACAGAAGTTTCACAGAAAAAAAATGCGAGAGCGAGAGACAGCACCACTTTTCAGTGGGAAACACTGTGTTGATGCTTCCTTTTTAATGACATAAGAGGAAACAATACTTTAGATATACCTTTATATAGCAATTTGTTTGGCTTGCATAGAATTAGACATTGTAGTGATTTTAAAATTACTCTTCTCCTTTTTGTTCCAGACAAGAGATGGATTCACATCTGATTTCTCTCTCCTGTTGGTCAAATGCACCCAAATAACCRTAACCCTGCTCTGCAAAGCTATGGAAATTTCTTGCTACCTTTCATAGTAAGTAAAATATTTCTAATACTGAATTTCTGAGTTTTTGTGGAGTATAAATGTGAAAGTCGGCAAATTAAAGGAATGTAACAGATATATCAGGTATCCTGACTACAGTGTTCTGGAGAGCAATGACAGGACCCATAAACTGAAACCGTGTGTTGTAATACAGTGGAACCAYGTGTTCTGACTGCATACAAAAATCAGGGAGCTAAGAACATCAGGAATTACTTTAAAGTACAATTATAAAATAATAGAGCAGTTTAATGATGAGGACTGATGATCTGGCTGACATCAATATATTCATCAATATGAATTTTGAATTCATGCACGCTATGAATGAATTTGTGTTTCAGTACTGAAGAAATCCTAAGGTAAGGGGTAGTAACTGTTTTAAGGGATTATACTTGATTTATAACACTACAGTGTATCTGAATTCATATTTTGGATTACTAAGTACATGCATTAATTGAATTACAACTATTCAGATGGAGAAAAAATAGTAGGAGGGAATAGAATGGAATAAAAAATGATTCCGTGTAAATATCTTTAACAGGTGAGTAGATTTCTGTTGCTTTCAGTGTAATACTGTTAGAGATGGGCAGTACATAAAATAAAAGGTAAATTATTACATTAAAAAATTGTAACTACAAAGAAATACAAATACTGGATTTAGGTTCCTGGGATACCAGCCTGATGGCCACTTATTGTGYGAGAAGTTAGACAATCCCAGATTCAGAATATCACTTGAGCGGCATTAAAATACAATGATGGATAAGTGTGGGACAATGAGAAAAACCCAGTCCTTAACAGAAATTGCTCACGTGTTGGCAAAAATTTATAGCAGAAACTTAATAGATTTCTGCTTGTCACTTATATTTGACAGTAGTTTGCATTTGAAATAAAAATAAGAGTCTTTCTGAGAGAGAACTTTGTGAGCAGAATGGATCTTGGACCCTGCACTGTGTCCTGTAAGAGGTGCCCTGGCCTAATGCTTGTCTAGTTCATTGTGATGCTATGGGACATGCTGAACCCCTGGGACTCTGCCCAAGGGACACTTCTGATAGAGGTTTGTTCGGCAATACCATTTGAGTCTGAATTCACTCCATGACTTGGCTTTCTCTRTTCTTTGAGCCTGAATGTCACAATGGTAATTAAGTAGACCTTGGACTCAAAGAAAATAGTTTTCTGGATTATGTGTTCTTCAGAGCATTCTTCTCCACAGTGGTTTCCTTTCCCAAAAGGGACTTTTGAGGGATCCTGTGCTATCTGACAAGCTATTTTCCTRCTTATGGTTATCCCTGCTGTGACAGTTTCTGACATCTGGCTGGTCTTAGCTTTAAATCTCAGRAGCATTTCTTTCCCGCATACCTGAGTGGTGCATTTCACATATAGGTGGAAGTGCTGTGTCTGACAGCATATCAGATAATTCCTGGAAGCAGAGTACAAAGCCCCACTTAGGCAAGAAGAGAAAGATCTTGGGATTAGAACTCCCRCATGATGAAGATAATGGCATAAGCRTTTGAATGAATAAGTAATTTATGACAAGGGAAAACCTCTCATCAAATTAGTCTTTCTTTGTGCTCTCCTGGCCCATATCCTGTATGTTCTACATCAGCACCATTTTTGATTTTGTAGGGCTGCTACAAATGATGGGGCTGATACATAGGTATCTTCCTCTCTATGTATTTTTATATGAAAACTATGTTGATCTTCACACACATCACCTGCCCTGTTCTCTGATGATGTAATCAAAGAAAAATAAATTCTTTCCTTTTGAAGGAGAAAAAGGAGCGAGGGTTCACTAAACAGATAGAAAAGRAAAGTTTTTTGCAATTTACAGAGTACGAATAAAAATTGATGTCAGCAGTCCACAAGTTGAATGAAGTACATGACTCAGCATTTAACCACATAGGATTTATTATTTTCTGTTATACAGAAATCAACTAAGAACCTTCAGTATGTAGCATGGGAAAGAAAGGTTKTGGAACTATGCAACCATACAGATATTCTGGAAACAGAAGACCGTGTTGACAGGGAGTAATTTTGAAATAGGATTATTAGGCCCCAGCTCATTTTCTAAGTCTGGAAAGCAAGYGGGTGGGAAACATGCAAGCATTCAGGTTGAGAGTTTAACAACCTCCCTCCCCCTCCACAAGACTGAGTGCTCAAAATATTCTAGGATCATAAAGCCATGGACTACAGGTAGTGAGTCAAACTTTTCTCCGTATGCATCCCATTATACATCTATTGGATTAATCTTGGTTACTAGAACATGAGAATCCAGAAAAGAAAGACTGAAGTTTTTTTTCTCTACAGATACAGGAGGGCATTTTGTTAAAGGTAAGAAGTTTGACTTAGAGGTGGGTCTCATGTTTGTGGGTATTACCTCATTCTGTGAAGGTCACAAACAGTTTTTACACTACCTACACTGAATCTGGCAKGTACACAGGGTTTGTCCTATTTATACTGATCTTAAGTACACAGATATAACTCTACTGGCAGGATGTCATGCCACACTCGAAAGAGGGTTAGTAAAAAAGTGAAGAATGAAAATTACTTCATTAGACACAACTGCAAGAAAATTGTAAAAATTCCTACATAAGGATTGCATAATTGAGGATGTAGGTTTAAGTTGGTGAGATCAGTCTCGGAAGTGTTTTATGCATTTGAGGTTCATAAGCCAAAATTTTACTCCAGTAACTAGTCTTTCTGTCCAGACACTTAAATAAAGTGATCTTTATAAATGTGGATCTGATACCACTCACCCAACTTCAGTGGAAGCTGAGAAAAAGTAGTCACTGTCACTTGAGTGCATAAATACAAAGTATGATGGACTACGTGGGTAACTGGGCAGAGTCCCAAATTTGTGCATGTGGACCTCTGTTCAGGTTCACTAGAATATGCACTCTAATCCAGTTAACAGTCATCATGTGTAAGTAACATAAACCCTATTTTGACCATCAGTGTCCTTGTTAAATGTAYCTAGTTACTGAGTTATAGTCAGCCCCTCCAGATACTGAGGTCTGAGTTACTGAAGACATGTATTCATATTATCTGTGCAATAGCAAAAGAACTTTTGTTACATGCAGTGCAAAAATTTGGATTTCTCAGGACTTTGATTTCTCTAACKGGGCAGTCTTCTGAGCAATAAATTAAGGAGAACAGGGAAGCAACTTAATGGAATTCTGTTATTAATTATTTCATACTTTAACTGCATCCAGATGGTTCATCAGGATTAGAACCTCATTAAGTTGAGTACCGTATAAAACACAAGTATGCACAGTGCTTGCCCCCAGTGTCAGCTCCATTACCCTTTCTGAAAAGAGAATGTTAAGCTGAAAGCCAATCTGCAAATGCGGCTGTGGATTCACTTCTGTGTTTGCAGAACTGTGGCTTAATGGAGTGTGCAGTACAGATTGCAAAGTACGAAAGGAAGGTCAAATACAAGAAATAAACAGGTGTGTGTGCATACCCGCTCTGTATAGCTTCTTCTGTTTTTAGTTACTGAATGTAAAAAACCCAAAGAAATTACCAAACACAGTATTTTTCCCCAGGTGATATCCATTTTTTAGATAAATCACTTCCCTCTGTTACAGGTTTAGTTTCCTTAAACACACAGTTGTTGCCAATAGGAAGAAGCTAGATTTTAAAATAGCTAAAGAAGACATTTGAGCTTTACTTTTTCCAAAGTTGAACATTAAAGCTTATTATAAAAAAAAACCCCAAAAAACAACAAACCAACTGCATATAGCTTTTGTTCAGAAAGATGAAAATCAGTATGGATTTTCTGCAAGAGATGAAAGCTTCTAATTATACTGGATCTTAGATCTAAAAGCCCAATTCTAGGGAATCATCTGTTGTAATAAAGCTGCAATACTTCTCATTTTGTCTTTCGTCCTCAGTTCCTGTGTAGTCCTGGCAAGAATGTCATCCATCAATGTACAAATGTTAAATCACCCCAGTCATGAAATATTAACAGAATGCATACAATTATGACTCCTAAATCGAAATCTTTCTAGCTGTAATTTGTCATTCCTACAATTGTACAATGTAGAGTAAAACTAGAAAACTACGAAATAGATCTATTGGAAAAATAGCATTTCTAGTACATGCATTAACATAGGCAAGCCCTGAACCTGCTTCAGCTGAGGTCAACAAGAGTTTTTCTTTGACATTAGTGAAAGCAAAATAATGAATTTTTAGATGTCTTGGTTCTGAGCAACAGATGAACAACATAAGAGCAGTTCTTAATTCCTCCATGCAAAGGTTTACATTTTCTGGAGCAAAGTAGAATGAGCATGCTACTTATTATTTTCTAAATGGCAATAATATATATTGAAATCTTGAAATACATATAAAATAGTCTCCTACAATCTGCACCCAGAACAGGTATGTGCATTTCTTTTTTAACATATTCCCTAAAACAACTGATGAACAATGCTAGGGGAACACATCCTAGGAACAGTCTTTGTAAGAAACATGGGAAGTTCTCTTGCCCTAGTTCTTCCAAAATAATAAAATTTGCAAACTCAAAAATTGAGTATAATTTTGAAATAATTAAAAACCTTAAAAATGTGGAATAATATTATTAAACATGTACAGTTCAGTCACATATCATCCAGAACTTGAAAATATTGCAAGCTAGCCATATTTCTTGTACCTAATTAGTAATATTTTCCAACAATACCCAAAGTAGTTTTATTACAATTAGAATAGTTTAATCTCAATATACCTCTTTCCTATGAGCACCATGTTTCTGCCTGCTGACTATATCATAATTTTATGTGCTATGGACGTTGATGAGGCCCTAACAACTGATCTAATTTTGAAATTACCCTTGCTCTTAGAAGGAGGTTGGACTACAGACCTTTAGTGATCCATTCAGGCCTGCATTTCCTGTATTTCTATGATTTTTCTGCAATTTTTCAGCAATTCTATGATTGTAGAAAAGGTTTTTGCAGGGGAAAAAATTACGAATTTCTGAAGTGTCCTTTCCATTACCCCTACACCACAAAAGCAGATGTCTGGGTTTTTTTATGCATTTATCTGATCACTTGTAGCAGTCCAGACTGCCTGCTGATCTCATTTCATGCTTACTTATCTCTCCTGATCTTCACTGTATGTCTCAGCCGCTGCATTTCTTTTGCTTCACTATATAAACATGCTATAATCTCATGCATTGAAAAAGCAAACCAAAATATATTATTAACTGTTCTGCTTTTCTAACTGTTATTTCTCTCTCAGTGGTTAGGCTCAGTTTCCTTCCTGCAACTTTGTCAGGCTGTACCAAACTGGTATATGCTGCCTTTGACTCTGCAGGCCAATCTCATTTTGACCACAGTCCCTAAGAACACTTTATTAACTGACCTCAAAACTGGTATTTTATACTTATCTGCCTTATGGGCTATGTCCAGTGAGGCCAATGGTGCAGTTTTCCTTAAATCCTGTCATCCTCATTTGACTCCTGTCTCCATCTTTTCATTTCCTTTGCTTCCTTAATTTCCTTTTTTAATAGATTATTTGGAAGAACCTCCACTTTCCTCAGTTTTCTGTAGGGTTCCAGATGTTTGGCCTTCCCTTTTCTGTCTGCAATATCTGTTGGTTGCTTACTCCACAAATGCAATTTTAGCTGTTATCTGTATGTAAAAAGCTTCTCCAGTCCAGACTAGATGCTTAACTTTCCAAGTGAAAAGAAAGGTAATTATGTCTACAGGTAACAGATATCACTTTTGGAGGTGTAGCCTTTTTAAAACTTAATACATTCATATGTGTAAAACATTCTTCCTTATTTTTCACTTTTATAATATGCCATTCAACGTAGGCCAAATCAGGGTCAGTATCTCAGACTCTGATTTCCAAGTCCTCTCCTTTAAATTTCATTGATTTAATGAGGTAGTATTCTGACTATGCCATCTTTTTAGTTTCCTCACTGACGCTCCTTCAATGTTTGATCAGATGTATCTATCTTGTCTTTACTTTAGAGGTCTTTCAGGACCTCATAATTGCTAATCACTTGGAGCCCATGACACCAGATTTGATTGTTTCTCCAAACCTTTATCCATTCTCTCATGCTTTGGAGAATAGGCCAATACAGTAATAAAATCACTGTCAGGAGCCAAAGAATTCAAGTGACTGATAGTATTAAACAAATAGCCACCTACACCTGGCTTAAAGCTTGAACATCCTCCTGAATGAGGTCAGGGTCAAACAATTTAGGCAGCAGACAGGGCTGCTCAGGAATATACATTCTTCGAGCTCCCTTGTTATCTAGCCTTCAAATCTCACCCTCCAGTTTCCCCTTCTCATAATGCATACAGGAGAAAAAATGACTGTTTAAACCGATGATGTGCTGAAACCATTGCTAATCAGCTAGACAAATATTGACACTCTCATTTTACTTTTCCATTCATGTGCATTTTTTTTTGTCTTTTGTCTTATCCTGGATGCTAACCACTCTGTGGGAAGTCTTTGTTTTTGTTCTTTGTTTGTACAATGTCTAGCCAGTGGGATGCTGGTCTGATTAAGCCTCACAGGCACTCTAGTAACGCGAATTAAAAACAATACCACTTTCTATTCCTGCTTCTTCTACAGACACTATGTGGCTGTGGGAAGCTGAATTCTGTGGCTGCCTATGTACCAGCTGAACAATACCATATCCTAATCAGGGTCTGCTGCAAAATTGTTAAAGGAATTGCAACAACATCTCTGGGGAYTTGAAGAGAGAAGCTAATTTAATTTTGATACAACAGAAAAAGTAATTGCAAAGAAAAAAACTCTGATCTAAAAAACCCTATATGTGATTGTATTTCATACAATAAACCTAAAATTTTGCGTCAATTTTCAGTGTCACTTTATCAATTCAGTTAGAAGTTAAAAATATGGGCAAAGCAAAAAACCGACAAAAGGAGCCCTTCTTCACTTTCTGTCACTTCTCCTTTCCATCACTTCATCTTGTTTAACATGTGAATGCCCACTGTCAGAATATTATCAGGATTTTAAAGTTGATTAAGCTTTTTGATAAACAACTTCTACTTTACTGCTTTACACAGAAACTGAAAAACACTATTACTTAGCCTTCTGAAAGAGCACCTCTTGAGTTTCATCTTTTATTATGGTTAATACTAGAGTTTTTTATTTTATCCAAAAGATTATCCCTATTGATATACCTTGTAAACTCTGAACATGAAAAATAGGTTTTCTTGATGATTTGCACTTCTAAAGGTGGYTCTAACTCCCTCCATATGAAGACTGGGTTGAATATAGCATATTACATTTACAGTATTTTGCATTATAGTATCTCAGACTATTTATGTTGCTGCTAAAAGAGTAGATGAAAGATTTTTATTTTGAGACTGAACATCTTCCATGAGTTTAGAGTCCTCCACTGACATAAAGAGAAAGGAAGGTTTTCTTTTCTTCCCCTTACCTTGATCATAAAGAACAAGGTAAAATTGTTTCTCCATTCATTTTGAGAATGAAACTTAACTTTTACTTTTGTACCAGAAGTTCAACAAAGTGGCTGTCTAGATAATTTTTTTTTGCCTCAAAGCTCTTTATTATGTCAAATCCAAAGTAATAACTTCTTTAATCATACACTAGGGCAACTTCCAACTTTCCACAGAACTGCGTTTCTGCCTAAGAACAAAAAGAAATGAACTTTGTCAAGAAAATTAAGGTGCACTGCTGGAATTGTGCATAAGCTTGCAAAACTGACCATGTTGTCAGTGGTTACAGCCAGCTTAAGTTGTGTACTTACATAGTTTCAACCAAAATAGAATGTTAGTAGCCTTTTACTGCTATATGGCACCCACTTCTGAAGGCACTTCTATTAATGACTAAGAGGAGGTAGAACACTTCCTTTTTAGATTTTAAGCTGTGTAAAAGACAAGCCCTACTGTTTCCATAATGCAGATATCTTAAGAAGGTGCAACATTTGCAGGGAAAATAAGCCTGTATATTTCAGAAGTTCTAACTTGGTAAGAATTACAAATAGTTTCTCAGTCCTTCCTCCCCTGTCAAATCAGAAAAGACAGTCCTATCCACAACCAAATAGCCAAAAGCAGCAGAATGATCTGTATATCCTATTTCACTCCGAGTCAAAAGAAAGGTTATGATGACATTTAGTTTCAATCTATAAAAGCTACACTAGAGATAATAATGAAGATGCAGGAATCCTATTACCACTCCTAAAAATGTGGCTTCTAYGAAAACAAAACCAAACCAAGTTCCTGAGAATCTTGCTATGCATCAGCATCAGAACAGTGCAAGTGTAATTAATTAATTCTTGAAGGTAATTCTAGCTAACATCAGACTTATGAGTAACACTGACCACAGCTTCAGAGTCAGATGTACTTTTGGAGACATCAGACATGCTGTTTCTTAGAACAGGAGCAGCATTCTACTAACTCCTTTGAATTCATGCAGTATGCCATTTAAAATATTTACTTAAATGCGTGCATTTACAAGAAAGAAACAGTGCTCTTCATATAGCACAGACCCTYTGAAGTCTTAATATTTGAAGAAAAGGCAATTAAAAAGATTTATTGGAAACTTCAGAACAAACCAAAATACAAAAATCAAATCTGGAAGAAACAGATGAAACAAGCTGCTCATATTAATAAGGCCCAAGGCAGATTCAGATTGAAACATTTTCTTTGAATATAAAGATGTTTTCCTGTCATTTAAAGTAGTGTTGGCACACATCACCTTTTGACACAACCATTCTGAATCTTTATTGTTGTAAATTGATGCCACCATATAGAGAGGAGGGGAGAAGGAAAGGAATAGCTCTACTAATTGTGCATTCATCTTTAAATTTTTGATCAATGAGAACATTTAATGTCAAAAAAGTAGATAAAAGGGAGGCTGGAAACCCAGATTTTTCTTTCATGTCATCTAGTTTTTCTAACAATTCTAGAAAATACATGCTCAAAATTCATTTTTAGAAAAAACATACATTTAAGTCCTGAAAAATTATTGTACTTGTGATTAAATCTAGATTATAAGTTAATGTATTTACCTCATTTTATCAGAAAGATTGCCTCAGTATCAAGAATTGCGTGTTCTTGACTGATGCAGTATTTCATTATTGTACGGAAACAACTCATCAAAAATAGATTTGGGGAATGGGTTGGAATTCAGTTGCAAAGAGCTGACACCTTAATGATGGGTTTCCAGTTCAAGAATTGTCCATTCCCCTTGAGGGGACGAACAGTCTTCAGATGAAAAGCTTGCCACTGTAATGCTTGCTGAGGAATCGTCAAGTGGAGACATGAGTTCAGTCCACCTGCTGAATGTGTCAACTTGTGATGTACCCTGAGGATTCGAACCATCTCGTGCCAGAAACAGTGTCTGATTGATAAGACATTGTGCTAAGTTAAGGTCTTCAGGAACAGAGTTTTTGAAATCTATATTTGAGTCCTGCTCAGATAACAATTGCCTGAGTAGAGTCCAGTCCTGTTCTGCAAACTGTTGATCTTCAAAATCCACCTCTAGAACTGCTGTTTCTGAATCCATCCTCTGCTCAATTGCTTCTCCAACATCCATCTCATAAATTGGAGAGAGGGTTTTTGGAGGCCGATGTTCATACATGCAGGTTTGTGCCATTGTGTCATAATCATCTATGTCTCCTGAAATAATTCACAATACTGTACAATGTAAAAATTGTAGATGATCCTCCCCTCAGGGCTGTGTAGAGCAAAACTTAATTCATTCAGGAAGGACAATCCAATCAGGTTAAAAAAGGGGGGGATAGAGGATTATACAAAATTGACAAAATTTGAGGCAATTATTTCCTATATAAAAAACAAAGTATGATTTATAAATTAAGTTAAAGCAGCAATCACCACTGGTAATTAACAATAACCTCCATAATTAAGTTTCTGATACAGAAAATGACAATGTAAATATACACTTAATGCACATGAAATTTCTCATTTACTACATAAATTAAATTTAGACCGGGAGGTGCATAGAGGGAATTAATAGAGAATGATTACTGAATGGTGACGTAAGCTATGTCAGCTTAGAAGAGAATTAAAACCAAAATTGTTTATCCACAGGCTTATTTCTACACTGCACATGCAAGGGCAGCTGCAGGCAAGGGCAAGCAAACTTAAAAAAAAATAGTACAACTTTTAATGTCTTCTTGTTCTGTGGTCTGGCTGAACATAGATCATCACCAGTGCTTCATTACTCTCGAATACACAATAGTTGTAATCAACACTATTGTATATTTTTGATGGGATAAACAGACTGAGTTATTGATATAAAGAAGACAAAACACAAAACTAGACAAGTATTCATCTAGCTACATGAAACAAGTTAGAACCTTTTTGTATATAAGCATCAGGTCTAAGTATAATCTCTCTTTTAGGAAATAAGTTTTTACTGGTAAAATTTAGAATTTTAGACATCTCGTAAGCTTTAAAGCAGAGTTCAAACCTACTCCCACTATTGTATATGGCAAATATTCAGTTATATTCAGTGGGARAGTGATCCAAATTTGTATATAATATATAAATAAATAAATTACAACAATAATGCATATAGCTGTTCAGGTAAACAGTTCAGTGCGCTTTAGTTAAGGTTATTACTTTAGTTATTGCACATCCCATTCAGACATACTATGTGTTGTCAAGCAGACAAAACAAATACTAAGATTCCATCAAAAGCTGATGCTGTCAATGTCAGATTGGATCAAAAATAACTGAAGTACAGACAACTGCATCCAATCTTTCTTTTAGCATTACATAACATCTCTTTTCTTGTAGTCARGTTTCTCATTGACCAGCAGGGTACTGACGGATGTTTCAAACAGACAGGCATTCTCTACCCAAGTGAAATACTTAAAAATATTTAAATTTAATATAGTTTCAGCCAAAATTACTTCAGTTCAGGATTCAATCCCAGACAAATTGCCAAAGCTTTCCCTATTAATTTGGTTTTGAATGACTGAATGTTTCTATTTCTGTACATTACCTGGAAGGAAATCAGTATTAGCGCATTCAGTAGTTGCTGGTTGACTGTCTCTCACTTGACTTTCCTGAGTCAGTATCTGATTCTTACTGGCTTCTACAGGTTTTGCAGTGCTGCTCTTTTGCACATCAGAATTAGCTTCTCTCTGAAGATCCAGATGACATGGTCTTTCTTGAGATTTTGCATCATTGTCCAAGTACTTATTGCACTGGTGAAATTCACTAGCCACCTCATTCTTCATATTTACTTTCTGGTTTTCTCCTGGACATGGGCTACCTGCTGAATACACTTTCTCTGGGCAATTTTGTTCAGTGATTGAAGCACCTTGATTCTCCTTTCCTGGGATTTCAGTACCATGAAGATTCGGGAGAGTTCCACTTTTATCTGTTCTATTGTCTTTATCCTTGTGCTGTTTGCCATCCAGGAATCCATCTTCAGTTTCCAGTGAGTATCTTGAATAAAACGTCTTTCCATGGTGCTCTTGAGAAACACTGTCAAATACTTCTGGAGTAAGAGAATCTAYTGAGTGCTGACTTGAAGTGTGAGTTTCCACTTTATCATCAGCTCCCAATTCTTCACATTCATCTACTGAAAGTAAAACAGATCGTTTGAAATTTTTAGTTTTAGAAAACTCCTGACTTGCAGTATCATTTTCTGTTGCATCCTCAAAAGCTAAATTATCAATTCCTTGGAACTGTTGAGTAGGAACATTTGATGGTGGAAAGTTTTCTGCAACGTTCTCTGCTTCAGATCTGTCATCTTCTGTTTCATCGGCAGAAGAAGAAACTTGGTCTGCTTCCTGAGTAAACTGTGCATTACCAAAAGTAGAACTTTTGCTTTCTCTAGTAGCGGTCCGTGAACTCTCTTGATGGGACCAAATTTCAGGTCTTTTTCTTGGTATTTCATCATCACTTGTTGAATTAACACGGAAGAGATCAGAACCCTCTTTTTTCATTTTCACTTCAATTCTTAGGCTGCTATCATAAATTTTTAATTCCTCAGGTGTACTTGTGTCACTGCTGCTTCTTCCAAGAAAATCATGACATAACATAGTACTGCATTTAGAAATCCCTCTTTCATTGGATCCCTCATCATCCTGAGAGCCTCCAGCATCATAATCTTCTGATCTTGGTTTTATATCATCAGAAGATGTGGTTGCACTGCCAGTGTCTGATTCTGGACTCTCTTTGGGATCTACGGCACCAGTACTCCAGTGGTCCACAAAGGGAATTTCTGCATTTTCATGGTTTTCTGACATTTCCATGGGATCGATAAGCTCTGTGTAATTCGGTGAGTATTTTTCTGTTATTTGTTCTGTGGAACATTCTGAAACATCATCTAAATCTGTTGTAACTGATTTATATTCAGTTGATGTATCACACAGTTCATCAACTGTAAGAAATCCCTCCACACTGATCTGAGGAGATGATGTTTCATCCTCTTTACTGGTTACTTGGGAAAAGCTTGACAAAGTGTTTTCACCATTGTTAAAACCTGTTTCAGGGTTTATTTTATCACTCTGTTCATTACAGACTTTTGTTCTTTTTGAATCTTTCACCAGTTCTCCTAAAACAGTAACCTTTTGATTGGTTTCCTTGGAAAGGTCTGAATATCCATCACTGGGAGACTGTGCATGAAAGTGAAATTCAGCTGTATTATCTTTCTCTGGATCTTCAGTCTTTCTAATTCCAGTCTGATCTCCACAGATTTGTCTTGTTTCCATGTCATTTTGTAGTGAAACGTTCAGTTTATTAATAGTTTCTTCTGCAATTAGAAGAGAAGATTCGGATTGTATTTTGTATTGCACATTTTCAGAAGAATCTGGTAATTTTTGTTTATTGGTTTGACAGGACTCCAGCAATTTATTGTCATTGCTACTTTCCATGGCAGGTTTTAAAGATTCATTTGCAGAATTGCGTTCATTGTTGTCATGAAGTGGACCTGCTATGGCATCAGCCGTGTTTTTCTCAAGTTTCTGTCCTGAACCTCTGTGCTCAGAGGTGTGCACATTCTTCTGGACAATAGGAGACTCACTCCTTGAATGCTTCTGGGCAGAGGACTGAGATTTTAATACAGCTGTTTTCTGTTTTGGGTCTTTATTATTTGTAATCTCAGCATTCTTTGATGGAGCCAGAGTCTTAGGTGTTATTTTTGCAGTGGCTTTTGTTACAGGTGTTTGTGATTGTTTAATACTCTTCTTCTTAGCTGAAGGGTGTTTTTCTGAGACTGTTGTCTGAACCAGGTGTTGTAACACATTTTTTTCTTCATTATGTTTTGGAGACATTYCTGATTTCAGTGAATTTGGTGATTCCCCCTGAGGTCCTAACAAACAGTAAAAAAGACTATGAAGGTTGCATATGCCAGTCACAGTGTATTCACCCATTTTAGGGTAGTGTTTGTTTATATTAAGAAAAAAGTTACTCAACTTTTTATGTAACTAAGGAATTTAAGGTTTGTAAAGAATTAAGATTTGAAATAACAAATAGTATACAAAAATACCATCYTGGCACCTTTAAAGCAGTTAATAGAATACACATACAGGAATTACTTCAGCCTGTAACTGACGTAGTCATGCCTAGAGTAGAAAGCAGCAGCTCTCTAATAATGCATACAAACACTACACAGCAGCTTAGCCCAGGAAGTGATGAGTACTGTAGTCAATTTATTTTGTAAAGGAAATGAACAGMGGCAGAAAATAATTACATTAGTTTAATGTGATTAGAATACAAGAATTAATGTCCCTGCTCAGTTAGAAAATACTGCAAGATCTTTAATAACCCCAAGTTGATATAACCTGTGTTTTCTAACACAGTGCATTTCAGATAATATAACTTGAATATTGGAGCTTCAATCCTTAACACTTTGTATGCTTATAAAGCAGTGTTTCTGTGTTCTGCAGAGTCATTTCCTACACTTGCTGTCAGTAGCTGTTGAAATCAATATTTGTTTAGGGGCCAGTATCAGTAGTGCTGCTGCTAGGGGGGAACACCAAAGCAGGAAGGCATCAAGCAGTCTGCAGTCCAGATCTTTGATGCTCATTCCAAATGCTTGACCTACAAAATGTCTGTTAAACTCAGTCATGGTTCCAAATGCACAAGTGCAGGGGATCAGGAAGACTCTGCAATGCAGATGAAACAAGCAGAAGAAAAACTGACTGGCAGTGAAGACTCTCTTTTAAGTATTTTGAAGTTGACATATTAATTTGCATTTTACAGTTTAGGACTGTCACTAAAAGTGAAATATGGGAAAAATCCAGAATTCTTCAGAAGATTTTTCCAAATACTTGTGCTAAAAACCAAACAAACCMCAAAGCTTTGCAAAATAGTGGCAGATGGTTTAATTGCTGTATGAAACTTTACCTTGGTTCTTGGGAGAATTGGTAGGTGCATTTTGAGTCTTTTGCTGTGCTGCAGAATTGGTACTCACATTCCCTTTCTTCTTTAGAACAACTTGTACATTTTGCTCATTACACCCTTTTCCTGCTGATTTTTTTGTCAGACTGCAAAGAAATTATTATAGTCATTATTTCCAGGCTTAAAATTAGTGATGTTTAATTATATTTAAACAAGCAATATAAGTGTTTTAGTGTGCACACATATATAWAACCATTGAAAGTGCAACTTTTTGAAAATAAAGAAATTGAGTGCATTTCTAYATCTATATGTTCAATTTATATACAGACATATATATATAATGACCCATTTCACAATTTCACAGTGCTTCAGCTGTCTCCTGTCCAGTTTAATCTAAGCTATTCCAGAAACTTTAAGTTTACAACACCTTGTGTAGTCATTAACTGTTCCAGTATGTAGAATTCTGAATGACCTATAACAATTTAAAAATGATTAGCATAAAACAGTCCAACACAAAAGCCAAACCAATTTTATCTTTACAGCAATGTTTCCAATAGCTAACTCAAATTCTTTTGCAAATAACATCTACAGACAATCATTCACAATTAAAAAAAATATCTAACAGGAAGTTTAATAGTTCACCTGAAATCTTTGTTCCCAAACTCGTACACTCACGCACACATATGTAAAGCAGCATATTGATTTGTAACATACCTGCTTGTTGTGACATTAGCCTCAAGCTCAGTCTTTTTTTTTTTGGTGGTGACTCCATTTGATATCTTCACAGATGCCTTTGTTTTCACTACTGTAAAGTAAACTTAAAGTTAATTATAGGGAGAAATGCATTGCACRTAAGTACTGGAAAAAAATCTAATATATAAAGATCAGTTATTGAGAAGACCATACATGCTAAACTTGTAAAACATTTACCATTTTAAACTAAAAATAGCCATTTTAGATGGCTGTTAATTGACCATAGTCAGTTAATACTCATTTACAGGGGAAGAATGTCACTCATCAATTTATAGTAGATTTTCTTAAAGCTTCCCGGGCTGGTTTTCAGTGTATGACCAGCCTGAGGAAATCAGAAGACAACTTTTAAAAAAGAATAATAAAAAATTACCAGTCTGTTTTTTCCCTTCCTCTACCAATTTATCCTCTTTGGGTTCCTCTGTCTGTTCACTGGCAGTCTGGATATCCGTGTTTGAATTTGCTGACTTGCTGGACGTTGCTGCTACAGTCACCAAGGAAGGAGATTCCTTTCCTGTGGCTTTTTTCAATGGCTTTGTTTTGTTCTGCATGCTTGAGGTTACTGTCAGCACTTTAGGTCTGGCACCTGCAATTTTTCCTTCATGATTCTTTAGTCCTTTGCTACTTCCTGAATTTTTCTGTCCACTTGCAGATGACGTCTTTTCTATGTCTTGCTTGGTAAGCATGCTTTCGGCCTTCACATTTCCATTATTTTCTATTTTTGTCTTTATAACAGCTCTAGCCTTTGGCGAAGCAGCTTTTTCCCCAGGTTTGGAATCCTTAGTAATCTTGGAAACTAATTTTTTGCCATCTTTCCCTTTTACATCCTCATGCTTTGAAGTCTTATTAATAGTGTTTCTATTGGTTGATGCATGTCCAGATGCTCCTAATCCATCAGATTTCATTTTATCCCGATTARTGGAAGAAGCTCCCCAGCAAACTTTCTTGCCTTGTTCTGCCCGGGAAGTATTCCTTATACCAACAGATGCAGTAGTAGTTTTATTTAGCTAGGGAAAGGAAAAAAAGGCATCAGAAAAAAACCCAAACAAAACATTTTTAACACGAAACTATCAATAATCTGTAATTTCTGAAACACATCTACTTTTAAAATAATATATGAATCTAAAGCAACAAGATTCAACATAGAAATAAATTTATATATATATATATATATATATGTTATTTAGCTCAGTTTGCTGGCTTTCAAGAATATAAAAGTACTGCTCTGTGTAGAGCAGATAGAAATATATAAGCTGAGTTTCACTTTTACTTTGGAAAAATTACTTTGTAATATTTACTTATTTATATTATGTGTTTCTGCTGAAGTAAGAAAATATTTTTCAGTTATATGTGCATATTTTTCCAAAAAGGAATACAGACTACACATTATTACAAACATAAAGCCCAAAATTATTTTACAATACATGTGATGCTTTTAACCATTACCAGCAGCATATCTGCAGAGAAATGACATTCCTGATTCTCTCAGGTGAAGAGGAATTGAAACATGGAGAATTAAGTGTGTGAAAGGGAATCTTTGTGATACCAGTGTAATTGCGAAGTATGCAAGACTGTCAAATCATGTGAAACCCACACTGGTTTTTTATCAATTAATAATATAGTTTTGAGTGTGTGTTTCAATAGAAGAGTTGTTGAGGGCACTAAAAAATATTTTTCAGAGCAGGAAGTGTAGCAGACTCAGTGTTGTGGTGGCTTGTAATAATAACAGAATTCATTAGCTCAGTAGCAAACCATTTGCTCTGGGAAACAGATGAGTTTCATTATGTAGCAAGAGAGGAATGTGAGATTCTGAACACAAATTCCTGTCTTTTATTTGAGCTTATCTGTTTGAAAATGTAGCAGAACACAGTCTGAATCCTAAGATGTTTCCAGTAAKCACTGATTCTGCAGAAACAGTTCACAAGAAAACACAGATTTTTCAAAACCAAGTTCCATTATGGAAACATGGAAAATTAGTATTAATTTAAAACAAATAGTGAAAATCGTTTTGTTTGCAATTATGTGAATGTTTTTTTATATTTGGATATAAATGTTTACCTGAGAGCTAGTGAATACAGGTTTTTTGCCAAGTCTGCGGTCATCACCCTTGTCAAATGCMGCTGTAAAAGGAACAAGCAGTTTCTTTACTATTTGGCAGGAAAGAAGGGAGACAGAAATCAAGCCAGCCTACTCAGTTAACATCATGTGGAATCTGAAAACACTTCTTTGGGTCCTGTAATTATTCTAGAAAGGCTAATTTTGGTGACATGGCAAATGTTAAGTGGAAATACAAGGTTTTATGTTTGGAACAAAAAGTGTGGGATCTGTAATGACGTCACATGGCCATAAGCAAGTTATTTAACTCTTCTGTTTCCCCATGTCCATAGTAAGACTTTTGTTTATCCAAGCTCAATTCATTTAAAGCTAGCAGTGCACTGAGACCTTTGAAAGTGTACAAAATTTACAAAAAGATACCTTTAAATTTAGAGAACTAATGACTTTTAAGTGTGTCGTTATTTATAAAACATTTATTTATACTACATAAAGAAAATATTAATTACATTAAATTATATTAGTTTTCAAAAGTGGGCAAGCCAAAATATCTAAATGTACACACTAAGGTCATAGTGCCTTTTTAGATAGCATGCTGCGAAATGTCATGAGAATTACCCGTGTGATTGTCATGTGGAGTTTACAGGCAGTGAATGCCTTTTTTTAATCTGATGTACTCTGGCAGGAAAGCAGTTTTCAACAAAGCTTTTAAATCAATTGCACTTGTAGAATACAAAAAGGATATTTATAGACACTGTACAGACCTAGAATCGATAGGTTTCATTCATGTCTGTATTCATACTTCAGTTGAAAAGAAGGTTTTGCAAAAAATATATAAAAAATGTAAGCATTCAGTGCCTCATGATTCTGATGTACTATACATGGAAACAGTTTTTGTATGTGTAATACAAAAATTCTGCTGAATTCTTACTAAAGATACTAAAAATAATTTTTATATAGGTCTCTAAAAATCACACAAAAGGTATGCTGAAAATGGCACCCCAGGGATCTAATCCTTTTTCTAGCAGTGACTCTGCACATTAATACATACCAATATATTAAGACAAAATCCATATAAACTTGTGCCTAAGAAAACACAAGAGATGTAGTAAATTAAAAAAACCACATTATCATCTGTCTTCTTTTGGCATTTTCCCTCCTCTATTATAGCCTTCTAATTCCATATAGGCTAAATTTCCAGGAAAAAAGCTACCAACAGAAATATTTAAGATGAAAGTTGACTTAAGTTATCCTACACTTACTTCACCTGAAGATTAAAATTTGTCTAATATTGTGCTATCGCTTTGCCTGTAATTAAAACCAGATAATTAATGCAAACATTTCAGACTTTTCATATATAAAAGGTGAGCAAYTTCAGTTAAAATTTAACCTAAAAGAAAACAAAACAATTTCTGRCAAAACAAAACAATTTCTGAATTTGGATAACTAAAACACACCTTGWTTTAAAATACTCTTTTGTATTGAAAGCACTAGTGTAAAGTAGCCTAAACATTATTCACAATAAAGACATGATCATCTTAAAAGTAAACCACCCCAAATCAGAACAGCCCACCCTTTTTTTCTAAAGCCAACTCCTTCGCTTCTGAAGGATCTTATAATCAAGAAAGAAATCCTAACCCTGTTTTACACAGTAGCATGAGATATTTGACTATATCTGTAAGTCATGCTTAGAAAGACTGCCACTGCATCTTTCAGCATGTAATTGTAAAAAATAAAATTTTCATCTGCCTCTATGCATAAATGCTTTTATAACTATTATATCCTAGCTACTGTCTTTAACAAAAAAGACATAAAAATGTTTATTTCTTCTTTGAATCAAAAGTGATTTGAATTCAGAGAAGTATTTAACACTCTTTTCTAACACTGTACTGTCAAAGCTAATATTAAACCATAACCTGAACTCCATCATCAGTTCCACATCCTCAGAATACTCATGTACTTCAAAACAAAGGAGCGTTCAGAACAAAAACTCCTTTTAGTTGCAAGTGCTGTCTGTTAAAACGTTGAGAGCACACCATGCAGCTCCTTAGGGGCTCTCTGCAGCAGCAACACAAGATCACAATGCCAATCAGCCGAGGAGTCCAGCTATCTGCATTTGCTCACAGTGCACAGGATAAGCATTATGCAAGAGATGAGCAATAKTTATACATCATGGAGAAAACGATAAAGGATAGAAACAGAATTCACAGAATGGATAATCTGTTTTGCGCAAAGTTAATTCATCCACAGCTCTTATYTCCTTAAAAATGAGGCAGATAAGGTTTTTAATCCGACTGCAGTGTTTTCAGTAATTTAGAGTAGCTGTAAATAAGAATAGAATCCATCTACATGATGGTGGGGGTGGGGGGTTTCTATCATATATACTCCTAAAAAGAAAAGCAAGGAAGACTCTTCACAGAAAATGACTTACTGATTTCACGTTTGAAACTAGCTAAGCGTGCCATCATGCTTCTATTCTAAAACACCATTTCAACACACAGAGCAGCATGAATTTTGCTTTAGTTTGTATAAGGCTGCACAATTCCATCTGCAATGTATCTACTAACACAAACAGATTGCTAAAAAATTCTAATGCCATTTGATGCCAGACGTACCTGCTTGTATTTTCTGTTGATGGTCTGGCCTCACCAGCTTCCAGCCTTCTGTGTGACGAACAGCATAAAAAGACTGAACCAGGAAGACCCAGAGCTTATCAYGCAGCGCCTGGATCTTGCACGTAAAACCCTGTGTTCAAGTAACAAATCAGCAGCTGGCGAGGGGCATATTGTCATAGCAACCAGTCATTATTCCTTTCAGAATCTACTTACTCCCTAAGCTAGATCAATGATGTCATCACTTATATTTTATAACGGTCTGGTAGATGGAGATGCTGTTTTTCAAGGATTATTGCCCACCACAGTGATTTTTTCCATACTTTAAAACCTGCAAATTACAGCACTGGTAAACACTACATCGCTCTCATTGCTTTTTTTTTTTTATTTTCTTTTTCTTTTTTTTAAATAAACCCCATAATAGCTCTTCACTGTCAGCTGTGTCACAACAAGGTCATATACTCCAGGGAAAAATAATGTATTTGATTMAATTTTCATTGCTTTGACCAAGTAGATCTACAATAGCATCAGATTGCAGCAATTAATTTTTCATTTATTTTTTATTCTTTGTCATACTATTTATGAATTATTCCCAGAATTACAGTCAACCACARCTTAAATGTCATTATTTAGATTGTGTGAATATACACAGTATGTTACAAACACGGAGCCTGAAACCTCCACCCAATCCAAAAAGCACACATCGGATTAAGTGTCAGTCCTTGCTTTAGATGACAGTTTTAAACAAGACCAWATGTACCTGTGACTTTCACAAAAAGGGGGAAAAATATTTAGGGAGATGTGTTAGAGAAAGTGAATAAGCTCTCCTCCCCTGTGAGTTTCAGGTAATGCAACATTTTGATAAGTTCTTTTCTTATCACAAATTTAAAGTGATAGTAAAGATCAATAGGGCAGTGTTGCTTATAGGACTTATATTTTCAGTAATACACAGGAATTTTTTGATTCCCATGGATGGGGTGTCTCTTTAAAGTAAACAAATGCCTACATTTCCTGTACTTCCAAAATGACCTTGGATTTATGCAATGCTTTTCTGTATGACCCCAGTTGCATGACTGAACCATCTAAGTTCACACCACATCATTTGATTTGAACCATGACACGAAACAATACCAGAATAGTTTTTCTACAAACACTGCACACTGAAGAACCTACCATCTCCTTTGCATTTGCAGCCTCCAACAACATATCCACTGCTACAAGAAGAAAGCAGCTATTTTCATTAGTAATGCTTTTTTCAATTGCATTGAAAATTAGTTCTAGAAGGTCAGGTTTGCTGCTCATTGCCTGTGCCTGAGGAAACAACAAAAGGCAGCCGTTTAAAACAAAAGAGTGTACTTTGTATGCAAAAGCATTACTGAGCAGAGAGGATCTGCTATCAAGCTGTGCAGGAGGTATTSCAAAGCTGAGCATCTTCTTTTGTATCCATTCCATTACCCCACCCCTCTCCATGCCTCCAGCAAATTATCCTGAGGCCTCTCTCCTTAACCGATTTTTTGGGAACAAGTACGATGTGATGAATTTACAGCCTCATGCAACTCTGGATCCAAAACCAAATAATTTTAAAATTTCCCTATTTATTTTTTACTCCTCTATACACACTAAAAACCATATTTCACAAGACAAATAAACTGGCTGGATGACTAGATATGGTCTCAGCAGAACCTGCAGCATTGCCACATTTGTGCAACTCACAACAAAAATCAGTAGAAACTTAAGTACACTGCTCATACTCACAATCTTGTAAGTATGTGCTGTTTGTTATTCCAGGGGTCCGAAACATTTTTTGAAGCTGGGATCCATACTTAAGTCTTTGCAACAGAGAAACTGTCCCACTAAACTTTTGCTTAACTGAAGCACATGATGTGAATGCAGTATTAGCCCTGCATATCAAAACATTTATGTGCTTTCAAAAAAACCTGCAAAAATCCACCCCCCCCAAATCTTAGTGCTGCCTAGGTGTTTTTTGTTTTTTTTTTTAAATTTTTTTTCATAGAATTATCCTTCAAAGCAAAAATTAAAATGATTTCAGTAATTTAGCAGCCTGAACTTTCCAAAATGGGATTTAATTCAATTTATTTGGAAGCATATAATAACTTGAGGGCACTTTTACCTGCAACAAAACAGAGAAACCTTCACTTTGTACTACATGTAGGAAGTTTGCAACAATAAAGGTAACACATTCCTCATGCAGCCGTGATGCCAAGGCCACAGCTGTCTCCGTCCATTTCACTTGGGGAAGGCTATTGATCAGCCGGTCACTCTCCATCAAAAGGAAAGCCGCATTCTTGTGGTTCTTGAAACAAAAACAGAAATTAGCCTGTTGCCAAGTAATTTCCTGAAGAATTGCTGATTGCAAAATAGCTTCTGTTCAGTTACTGAACTTTTACGCAGGAACCCAATTATGTAATTTTCCCCTTATTTAAATAAATTTGGGTTTTTATAATTTGTAATATTATACATGCCTTTGAAACTAGAGCAGAAAAAGAAAACCCTATTGGTTCTGTTTTGCCTGAAGTGAGGTAGTAAAGTTTTCAGTAACTTTTACTGTATTTTTTTTGACAACTGTACCATTACATATTGCAGTCTTGAAGAAAAATAGGCAAATGTTAGGTGGAGAAAGTGAACAGAGGAAAACACTATAGGCCACTGAAAGATGTGATAAATTATTGAATAAAACAGCTAAGTTGAGGTTTTAGATGAGTGTGGATTGCCTAGCATTTGGGATACAGAGAAAATACTTTCATAATTATTAATCCTTCTGCTTTATATAAAGGAGTCAGACAACAAATATTTGTCTTTCCAGATGGAGTTTTAACTGAACTTACCCTCTTTGTTGTCTAAAGTTTCTCAAAGGAAAGTAACTGTTCTGTTTCAAGTTAACATTTCAAACATGCAAACAGATTTGCTAATATTTATTGCCCTGGTCTGTGCCTTCAGTTCTTTCATGCATTGCATCAGCACAGTACCTGAGGGCAGCTTCTACTGGCTAACACATCACTTGAAAAGAACTTGGAATTTACGGTTATCCACATTAGAATGGCCTGAAAGCTCTATTCAGCATGGCCTAGCAGGACACTGATAAATTATGGAATAACACTGGAAAAAGCAACAATCCAGATAAATATTTGACACAAAAACCCCTACTGCAAATTCAGATCACAATCACATTTGTCCTGTGCAACTGAGAAAGCAGGGAGTACCTTCTTTGTGCAAGTTAGAGTTAAAACATAAAATCTGACCTTGCGTTGTTAAAGTATATTTATTTTACTCATCTCTGGGCAAATTCAGTTTGCTTCTCTGCAGATCATGTCAGTTAAGGATTACATATATGCTTATGGTTTGATTTTGTTTCCACTGGACTCAATTACAAGCTTTCTGAATTGTCTCAAATACAACCCCTGCTCRCAAGGCAATAAGCATTTACTCCCATTAGACACTTCCAGTAAAATATAAAATGCCTTCATTGACTTCTAATTAAGTCAGCACTTTGTAGAAGTGGTTCTAACTGAATTTTACTTCTTTTATTGTACTCTCTTCCTGACCATTCTGAAGTGGAGTCCACTCTACTTATCTAAAAAACCAATAATTTTCTTGCACTTGTGACAGGTACACATAAAGCACATGGACAGTGCTTTAAACAGCACTCCCATTTTAATGTTTCTGTGTTCATCATTGTGGTTTTCCAGGGATTTTCCCATTGGCAATCTCCTTTTCTTTGGACCATTTTTTCCTCTAAAGGGCTGTCACATTAACAAGGTTTTACGTTATGAAGGGATCAGCAGAGGTACACTGTTTAACTGGGTGTAATAGTTCAAGTTTTACAACAGAAAACTCTAGCAGCAGAGAAAACGGTTGTAAATCACACAGCAGCCCCTGCAAAATTAATGTCAGACCTTTTCTTCTTCATTGCTCAAGCAGCCTTAAGCATTTGTGAAAAACTCTCCCGGGAATTCCACAAATTTTCGGGATGGGTGTCTTAAACAAACACTCAAGAGAACCATTCTCTGGGCAGAAGAGGCTTATGCTTTATTGTTTAATTTTGCAACTCTAGATGCTTTCAGACTTCAGTCCATAAAACTCCAGTGAATCTTGCAAAGACACAGCAACACAAATGTTAGATCAATAGTATGGGAACTAAAACACACTTTAGTCCAAACTGCAAAAAGCCTTCCAGAGAAGCTGTGTACACAGCTGGGGAAGTACCAAGGTGCCATGACTGTTCTGCAGATGCTGGCAGCGTAAAGGTAGCATATGTATTTCAACATGAACTGTAACCACAGCATCTTTATATATTAGAATAAGCAGAGGAGAAGGAAGGCCTGAATATTTACCTTTAAACTGTCCCAATAATGTTGCACAAGGGCCTAGAGAAGAATGTAGAACTGTGTCTACATGTGCTCACAGCTAAAGTACACTACTCATGGTAGTGTGGAGCTGGAGATAGGTGGTGGTTTAACTCTGCACAGCTGTAGATCAGAATGAACTGATCTGTATCATACACAAAGCTATGTCTATATTCTAAGAACAGCTCAGTATACTAATCCAATATAGTGGCAGAACACCTAGCATCTTGAGATACTAGGTGTACTCCTGAGGTGTTATAGCTGCCATCTTTATTCTGTTAGATTTATGCATTGTGGATATTCTCAAGCTTTTCTTGATCACAGAATAAGCTGAGCTGAAAGGTACCCTCAAGGATCATTGAGTCCAGCTCCTGGCCCTGCACAGGACCATCCCCAAGAATCACCCCATGTGCCTGAGAGCATTGTCCACAYGCTTCTTGTCCTCTGTCAGGCTGGYGCTGTGACCACTTYCCTGGGGAGCCTGTTCCAGTGCTARGCACTCTCTGAATGAAGAACCRTTATCTAATAGTCAAAGCTAAAGCCACATAAGTCTGAAATCTGTTGTTTTTCAGGCTTTCACCTGAATATGCAGTTGTAGCTGCCACTCACAACCTGCTGTCTTCAGCATTTGAAGTACTTCATCATAGATGTCCTGAAAAACCCAGTCGCAAGAAGGCTTCACTGTCCTTTCAGTAAGGGGTAGTTGTTGAACAGAACCATTCAAGAGTGCAACTCTTGAACTGGGGGTATGTTTGACAGTGTGCATGTCCATATCTGAGCTATTTAGTTTGGATAACACAGTAACACAGCCATGGGAACAAGTACTTCAGCATGAGAYASATGARATGCCACATATTTAGTTGYCTGTTGTGYSSTAGAACCAAAATCATGCTGTGAATGTTACCTGAGCTTGTTAAATTTTGTCTATGACAATCCATATTGCAGCTATATACATAAACAGTCATGCTTGGCAGCAGCTGTACAGATTTACCTTTATTTCTATATACTTTTTAGGTAGGTTACAATTCAGTGTATTTACAGGCTGARTACTTGACAAAACTTCTGTTAATAGGTCTAGTCCAAATCAATTAAAGTCAACTCTGAGCATAGTTTTATACAGAAATACAATTACAAAATACTTAACTTTAGGCAGGTCTAAACTGGAACAATGTAAGTACGTGCCAAAAAAATGAAAGCTGAGCTTTGGGTGGACCAGTGTAGTACTGTAATCTGAGAACTAGAAGATATGGATACTATACTGTTACTTTATTCTTGTAAAGTCAGCCTGCCTGTAAACAAATGGCTATCACTGATAGCCAGTGATCAACTGAGGTCTGAAAAAATAAAAAAAAAAGAATTCAAACTTGGAATAAATGGACTGTAGATAAAAAGAAAAAGGCAATCACAAATGATGTATGCGACCATRTAACACAGAAATAGATACAGTGATTTCCTATTCCTCACTGTCCAAATACATAATCAGAGAATCATAATATCAGATGGTGTGGGTTGGAAGGGACCTTACAGATCATCTAGTCCCAGCCTTCTGGTTGTAGGCAGGGACACTTTCCACTAGACCAGGTTTCTCAGAGCCCCATCCAGTCTGGCCTTGAACATTTCCATAACGTTGCATTATGATGTCACAGCTGTGTTTCATAAACATATTTTCTATTATTATGCTGGACGTGGATGTGATGATCACTAGACTATGTGCCATGAAGTATRACAATGACATCCCACAATAAAAAGCTTTTAAAATTATTATTTTAATTGGAACTTTTAGATACTATAAATGCACTACAGACGTAAGATTTTTATTATCTTACGTAAGATATTTATTATTGCTTAAATTACATTGTACTGCTAAATAAGGAAAAAAATATTTTTATACAAAGCACACTACTTACCAAAGAGTTAATCAACATAACAAGACAGTTGTTCTGAAGTTCAGTAGGTAAATTGGCAAAGCTTCTCTCTGACAAACATCTTGCAAAATGTTTTCCTACCCATCTGTTGAAAACAGAGCCATTCTTAGGTAAGGAARATGAAAAATGTTCTATCTTCACTTGTTAGCATAAAGTGGTACCTCTAAAGTAATATGAAGTAAAAAYATGTTTAAAATGTGAACATTCTGTATGCCACAATAAACCATATCTTACAAAATAATTTCAACAGAAAGCAGAGAAATTAAAAACAAGCAATATTTTATTTTATTTTACTTACTTCATGCAAGCAGCATATAGGTTTTCCACTCCCAAAGAATGAGCAATAGCCATGCATTCTAGTACAGGTTGCTGTTTGCCAGGAACAGGCTAGAATTGTTGGAAAATGATCACAATTATTGTACATTTTGATTTATAAAAACYATACAGAAGAACAAAATCTTCAGTTCAAAAAGAAGTTAAGTCAGCTACCATGGTATTTGTTTGCCTTTATGCAGTCATCTATTTCCACGTGTCAAAAAAACAGGATTCAGCCTAGAATGAGCCTAATGCATGAAAATGCTCAACTCTAAGCAGGCAGTTATTTGAAAACTAATTTTAATTGAATAGTTTTTTTTTCCTAAATATATACCCATTGAACAATATATGCAAATATTTAGCATTTCCATATGCCCTATRCATACATTGTACATTTACAATGGCACATATTAAAGTATACTCAGTGTAATTTAATACRTTGAATTAATCATGTGGAATACTGCTTTTAATCAGCTGGGGTTTCCAAGTATCCATAAATAGATGGATGATATCACAGGCCTTACTCTCACCATCAGTCCCAGTGAATTTAGCAGATTGACACCTAAAACCAGGGACTGTTGACATTAGCCACACTGTTGACTGACCACATAGTTCTTACATACTTCACTGTGATTGTGCTAAGTAATAGATTCGAAATTCTCAGGCTTTATAGCTCACAAAGTAGCATGAGAACTGACATACCTTTTGGAAAAAGTTGCAGTAATCTCTTTTCAAAATGTAGATAGCTACTTCTTTTAGCCCATCCAGCCCGTACATATCTGCAATGCCCAACATGCGACTGAAGAGAAAGCAGCAGCAGCAGGAATCAAAAAATCCTTGTGATAYAGGCATTTTGCTTACAAGACAATTTATATGCTAACTTCACCTCTTTATTCAGTCAGAACTTACTGCAGAAACAGATTGATAACCAAGTGTGACACTTTCCAAAGAATAATCCTCAAACAGAAACAGATACTGACCTAATAATAATCTGCCAGCCATTGAGTCCAGCCTCCATAAGAGCAAGCCTCAGATGCTAGCTGAGAAACTGTTGAGAAGACTCTCAGTTTCTCTACTTTAAGGATAGCAAATTAAAAAAATAATTGTGCCAGTGGAGTTTTGGAATTTTGTAGGTTTTTTTCCCAAAGATTACAATGACATAATTCTTAAAAAGCAGAGTGAGCAAACTATTACTTATTTTATCAAATAATCACTACCGTAATTTTATTTTCTATATCCAGTCATTAGCGAAGCATTTATATTAGGACATATTATAAACAATTTCATATTTCTAGGAAATGGTAGCAATTTAATGTTTAGTGGCAGAGTTCATCACCTAATAAGTAAATGGTTTCAGAGAATAATTCACAAATTTGAGTATTTACTTCACTAATACAGGATTATTTATAAAAACGTGATTAAAAAACTATCCCAGCAGAAAATGCCAACATTTACATTGTTTCCTATATATCATCTTTCATGGAGCTAAGACTAACTACTAAGCCTTCTCATCAACTTGAGTGATTATTCAAAAATAAATTAGAAATATTAACTGTTATATACTATCACACATTATATATATTATTCTGAAAACTAAAAGGCAGGTACAGGCAAACTGGGAATTATTTTGGTATAAAACATCATCCTGCTTTTCACTCTCCTCATACAGTATTCCAAAACCAGCTGGCACAACTTTTCCAGTAGCTGCCAAATAAATAAGATTTCTTCAACAGCTCTATTTTTGGAATTTTTCTTTTGACTTTTAACTGAGAAAAATATAGAACAAACAAACTACAATTAAAAAATAATAAAATTTGACATATACCCAACATCAGCTTTGTCTGGAAAGTCCAAAATAGCTCCATATATAAAATGCAAGATGACACTCATTTCTACATGGCTTATGCTGCAAGAAAAAAAAAAAAAGAAAAAATACAAATAAAGACATATCCATAATGAAATGCATCACATTTCCTAGCCAAAGTTGGTCAAAAAGCTGATGCATCATCCAGCTGCTCTGTGAATGGAAGGCAAATAATCTGATAAAAATAAAGCAATAAAATTTTGCAATGCAAAAGTATCTACATGGACTACATTTTGGGTGAATTTAGCTACTCAACAGTCTTGCTAGAACTTTCCAATACGTTAAATCTTTAAAAGTAAGTAGTAAGCAGACTAATACTAATAACTGTATTATTTACATGGGTAATATACAAGAAGGATTTTTTCATCATTGCCAAGCTCTTTACTAGCAATAAGTCAACTATTAGGTAACTACATGTTTTTAAATTCTTATAATTATTTTTAATTCTTGGTTTTATGGTATCTTTTCTGACACTAAAAATACATTTAGTAGTATTATTACAATGCTAAGTAGAAATGCTACTCAAAATATTTAAAAAGTCTTTATTCATATTAAGAAAGCTGCATCCTTTCACAGTCCCAGCATAATGCAGAAAGGCCCACAATGCCTAAATGATGAACATGATCTGAACACTTTCTTGTCTTGTGTACATGCATTTCTGTGTGCAATCTTCAGGACCTACAAGTGCTGTGTGCATTAGTATGAAGGGAATACAGTCATGCAGACAGAGCTAGGACCCTTTAAAACATTAGACACATTTAAGCAATTGACATTGATGACTAAAAGCAAAAGGAAAACAACCCAGCGTTGCAACATGCAAAGAARCAAAATCAGCACAGTTGTCTCCCTGTATATGAATACACACAATAGTCATAAGGTCAGCAAGAAGGAGTTTCCCCACAGTCTTGACAGCTGTTACCTTGAGCAGAATTTTCATTATTTCAGAGTAAGCCATATGTACTTCATATTTATAAGTGTTGTAAAAGATAGCACAGAAATCAGCACTAAGCAGAAAAGTGAACTAGAAAAGGTAAAATTAGGGATATGATTCATAACAACTGAAAATTATGAGACACTGGCATGAGAATAGCCTCATATAAGGATTTAGTACTTCTCAGGAGAATCCTTCGAATGAAAAATAAGGATGAAAATTCCTTAACCACATAGAAATCAATTACAGAGAGAGAAGTGTATAAACACAAGAGTAATTGGTGACTATCAGCCTCTAAAACATACTATAAAAGCAAAGGAATAAATGAAATTGCAAGTCTATTGTTTTATAAGGATTTGGGAGTTATAACAAAATCAACAGATAACATTTCTAATTTTGCAACAGTATTGTTACACTGAGAGAAAACTAAAATGAACATTTGAGAAAGTATCACTTGGCCAAGCAATTTTATATTAACACAAAGCAGTTAACATTTTGCAGCACTGTAAGGTACACAGTTCTTTCTGAAGAAAACTGAACCAGCCAACTCATCATGCCTAAAAAAAGCTAACATGTACATGGATCAGTATTCCTTTGCTTTAGAGGAAATTGAATATATTTCAATAGAATTGTCTGATACTGAAAAGAACTAACCTGGCAGTCCCCAGCTTATCTATGAAGTCTTAAGTATTCATCCTACAGTGACAGCTCCATTATTCTCACACAGAAATGTGTTCTCCATGGTGAACAAGCACACTAGATAAAATTGCTTTAGTATATGCTGCTGGAATATCATAATTAAATTCTATTTAGGAAATGTTATTTGTCTTTACATTGTAAATATACTTATAGTACAAAAAAGTATTAAAATTACATTGTTCAGAGGCTCACAATGCTTTTCACATGTACAACATGAAGTGAAAGAAAAGAATTCTCAAACAGATTGTGAATACTAAAACATACTCYACAAAAAAGGATTAGTGCCCTTTTGCTGATGAAAAAGACTTTTCTGAATCATCTGACAATATTAACAAATACCCTACACACAGTTTCATCCTGAAGTCAAAACAGTACTCGGGAAATGTATCAGGCTGGAGAAAAGTGTCAAGGCATATTAATCTTCAGTGCTCTGTACCCAGCGCTGTTGTTACATATTTGCAGTGATTGTAAATTGCCTACCTTTGCTCCCACACGACTTGCAGAGACAACACTTACCCTTGAAGAGTGATGTGCTCTTGGGAGCTCTCAGCCCAACTTCCACTCAGCATAGCAGCAAAGTAACTAGATCTGGCACATAAAATRGCCCTGAGAGAGGAAAAGTAAACATTATTCCACTACACACAAATATTCATGATGAGACTCTTTGATAACATTGACTTAAATCTTTGCCCTGTGTACATTAAGGTGTCAGCTGTGTACTGTGTGCCTTATCTCCCAGTATGTTTGGAATTTCAAAATATGCTAGAGAAAAAAACAAACAGTACTCTATAAATTTTTCAGTTAAAGCTTGTTTTTAGTATGACTTTGAGATTTACASAGAGGAAATCTATTATCACAAGCATTTTCTTTTTATATAAAATTTCACATTTATTTCTCCTGATTTATTTAACAAATAAGAATAAATAACCTTGTTTATACAGCCCATTATAAATAATTATATCCTGAGCATCCTAAATTATTTTTATGCTAAAAAAATGTTGATTTATCAAAATGAAAAGTATGTAATGTCTTGTATTCAAAATTTGTTACCCACCAAAAGTCAAACAAAACTTGATATTAACATATGCTGGGAAAACAGGATGTGTTTTTACAACATTGTTCAGAGATATCAGTTACCTCTGTATACACTTACTATCCTTCTATATTTAAAAGGCATAACTGGCCATAACAATTCAATTTACTATTATTTCCATAAAAGAGAATAAAGAAACCCCAGAGCAGCAGTCTATGTAGCTCACTATCTCTACCAGTATCAGTCTTCAAAATATCAGGTAAGAAGACCTTCACAACAGGAGCTTCATAAGGTGGAACTGCAAGGGCAGCAAATGAAGACAAGACAGTGGATGAAAACTGCTTTTTGATTTCAGTTTTCCAGATCCATACCACTTAGTGTTAGCCTTTAAATATCTTATCTGGGTTACTGCAGCCACAGATAATATTCTCACACATAAATCTTTTCATGATGCTCGCTAAGCTTCCTATTATTTATAAAATTAGCTTATGTCATGTATTTCCTGTAGCAGAAAAAGCAGAATGTTATACTAGGCATGAGAATTCTTTCTTTTACATGTATTCGTTGTCTCTCAAAATGTTTCTGAGCACTCTCATTTTGCGTAGGAAGAAGCATGAAGAATGCTATTTATGGTCTCTGTTCTAGTCATTATATATTCTGTATTCTCTCATCTCTCTTCCCTCCTCCTGCTTCAGAAGTCTCAATWCTTTAAATTAGAAACTTCTCGCACTTTCCTCCTGTGACTCATCCAGCAATAATAACAACAAAGCTTTTACAGAATGTTTCATATCTCAGTGAAGTATGTCCACATGTAAATGGGTATTACATCCTAACTTCAAGTATATGAAATTCGGGGTACACATATAATCTTATCTTTATAACATACAGTAACACAGTGTCATAGAGATATGGAATACACTTATCTCCAATTTTTTATTCTCTTCTAAATAAATTTTAGACATGATCGATCAACTTCTAGGGCATAGTTCAAGTGGGTATTTCAAAGACTCATTTTAAATAAGACAGATACTCAGCAGAATATGGACAAGTATGTATTATCTAAGTTTAAATTTTACCAGCATATATTTATAAAATACAGAGATGGCAAATTATTTGGAAATAATTTCATCTGTTCTTTCCTACAGTGATGTTTAGTGCCAGTTATATTACCAAACAAATCTGTCTTGCTCGTGCAGAGCTCTGTAAGAATCCAACATTAGGAAGACATAAACAGCAACACTGTTAAGTCTCTTGTAAGTTCATAGGACTTAATGAGAAAGTAAGGAATACTGACAGAAGTGGTGGGAGACTGTGGGGGCCTAACCTGTCTCCTGTTTGAGAATTTAAAAAAAAATCCCCCTTACAGTAAGGAACTCATTCTGGTGCTTTCACCACAATGATATCGAAAGTTAGATTTCCTTCATTAGCTCCTACTGTTCACATGACACAATGCTAAAACAAGCTCAAGTCCTGTGCTTGTTTCAGAACATCCTTATTTTTTCTATGACTTACTGCCATATTTCTTGATGCAAGTTAAACTAGATATATTGCTCCAGGAAGTAAATGGCCTAAATTAAAGAAGCTCTGCTGATAGAAATTCTTTGTTGAATTTTCTTTTTTGCATTAAAGCATTTGTTTGTCAAACTTATGTATCTGAGAACGTATCTTATAGTATAGATGAGAAGAAACATTCTTTACTAYACTACATTCTGAAAATGTAGTATATGTCCAAATTCTACTATTTAAAGAAATAAGATACCCATGCACACTATTATGACATATCTTCCATAAAGATACTATAATGTCAGTAATAAACTGCATACCCCCCCCCGATTTGTGTTAAGCAAGTACTAAAAGTAGTGATAGTCCCTSTCAGTTTTTTATATACTCAAAGGGAACAAAATACAGGCTATCTAGTTTGCTATCTCAAATGCAAACAGACATATCAAAGGTACAAGGAATGGTACTGACACTTTAATTTGCTTTCCCAAGCCACAAGAGTACGATAAGCCAAAGTTCTTAAATGGATTTGGACTTCAGATCTAGTAAAGGCTCCTGACAATCTTTACATCTACATAACTGAAGTAACGAAAGTAAAAATCAGATTTTGTATGCACAGATTCTGAAGAGCAGAGAAAAAAAATATACTCCAGAAACTTTCTACCTGTATGGACATTTTATTCAGCATTAATAACTGAATAGTCTATTACTAGATTTTTCGTTTTCTTTACAGAGATCAGATAGTTCATTTTTTCTTTTGTATTTCATATATACATATATATATAAAATTAGCAAAAAACCTACTCCTATAGGAGTTTATATGAGTTTACAGTAGCAATTTTAGAAGTGCTAAAAGCACAGTTGTTTTCAAAATAGTTGCTGTTGATGATAAATGATATTCATTAGTATCTAMGTATGGCCACTCCACACAGACCACCTAAAAGCTGTAATGGTTCACAGCTAAGGAAACAGCATCTGCAATAACTTCCTACACATACACGTAACAGTAGCATTTTAAACTAGATGGTTATTGACTGAAAAACTTTTTACTGTAAATACTTACGTACCTGTGAGCTTGAAAGTCTTTGCCTTCTACACAAATACTGATGTCTGGACAACAGCATTTCTTGTAGAGCATCAGTAAGTCTTCCCCTAATATAGATGCAGTTTCTACTTTCGAATTACCTGCATATGGGGAGAAATAGTGGTTTTCACTTTTGTCAGGTGTACAGCAGACTATTAACAGTGCACAAATAAAGTATTTGCAAAGAATCTGACATAATTAATTTTTTTAATATTGAATATTTAAGCTAGGATTTTCCTGGAAAGGTTTCCCAAACCTTGTTTTTTACTTCTTATTTTGAGCTATCAGAAACTTGACCAATGCTCCATATTTGGTGTGTACAGAAGGAGTGCTACAGTTACACTTTCATAAGATTATGCACCCAGTTCATTTTCTTTCTGCAGACATCAGGAACCTCTGCATTAAAGAAAAGTAGCCCTTGAGGAAATTCAGGGTCATACAATGCTACAGGCTTCCACCTGAACAGATCTGGTGCTTGAGCCTGTATTTATGGACACAGCTGTAGCAGCCAACACCTCTGGGGAAGATGCAGGTAAACACTTCCTCATATTATTTCACTCAGAGCTGTAGTGTGGAASATTCTGAAAGGTTCCAGAACACTTGTAGTTTTGTCTGCATTTTTACAACTGTAGAAGTATTGGGATAATTAGGTAAAAGAATAAAAGAAAAAAAAGTATAATTCCAAACCTACCTGCAGTGGATTTGTTGCTTTCTGCATCAATGATTATGTCCGGAATTTCCTCCTCAGTACAAGATGAACAACCAACTTCTTTCTGCACAGCTCCTCTTGGAGTATTCTGATCAACAGCTGATTTTTTGCTTTGTCCAAAACAATTTAAATTATTTTGAGTGTCCTGAAGAGTTGTAGTGTTGCTTTCTTGTATTAATTTGGGWTCCAATACTTTTTTCATCATAGCCAGCTCCTCAACTTCATTAAGATTTTTATCAGATGAATATACAAGCCTGGAAGATGACATTAATTTTTACTCCTGTAATTTTTAATTGAACACATAAAAAAAGACCTTTTTTTTGTGTCTAACAAAATTCATGACCAGAAGAGAAGAGCTGGACTCTACAGTGCTTAAAAAATGCAACCCTTTTAAAAATATATTTCTGGAAAATTTTTTTACTGCAAATGCTTGAAAAGCATAAACAAGCACCCCAAGATCTAGAAACTTTCTAATGTMAAGATTACAGTAAAAAATCATTAGAATTGTATAGAGATAGAAATGAATTGGAGAAATAAATTTTAATTTCAAAGGAAGTACTTAAAGCACAAAGATTTGCAGTTAAGATTACCCAAGAACTTTTACTTTGCCCATATAGTAATTCCAGCTTCCCACTTTCCCATCTGTTTCACCAGCTTATTTTTGGCTCAGGATCTGGAAAGGCTAACAAAGCCTGCAGTCTGTGACTGCACAGATCTCATATTTATAGAAAGATGCTGCACTCCAGCACAGATAACATGCTTTAGCCTTGGTTTCATACCATATCGATGAAGTTAACAAAGTTTAACAGAAGAGCTACAGTTACTTTGGATGTAGCAGATGTCCTTAGAGATCTGCTTTAGTCACTCATTCCATGGCAAAGAGGCTTTTTTTGGTCAATACTTGGAGAACAGTAATTTGAGTGTGCCATTTGAACACTGACCTCTAAAGGAGCAGAGAAAACATACAAAGAAATCATCTTCTTTCTCAAGTCCTATATTTAAAGAACTGAACTAGGAACTCAGTAAATAAAACAAATGAAATGGCATTTTAAAACAGAACTAAGKAAATGGTTTCTGGATCTGAAAAGGTTACTCTATTTTAATTAAGTTTTTTCCTATAAAACCTCAAGAAACTTTTATTATTTCAGTTAACATATAAAATCCAGTCACATTCCTGGATTTATTACTTCCAGAAATTCAGYACTTATCTTACTATTAGAGTTCTGCTTAATACAGACTGTAAATTCACTACTTTGAAAGACTCATGGAGGCATCCATCATTTTGCTTCACAGACAGCAATAATGATTGTGGCACATTTTTAGAAATTTCCTTTTATCTCAGTTAAATCCCATTAGATGTTTCCAGAATGCAAGATTCTGCAGTTTTCTAAAACCTGTTATAAAAAACTTTGCTTGGCAGCACCCTGCATTTTATAGGCTCATTTCTAAAGCAGAGTGAAGTTTTCTAGACTGTTTCCCACAGGGTATTAAATGGCGCCTTTCTGCTTAAATAAATGCTAGGGAAATCATCATCCACGGGAAAGTGCATAGCTTGGACCTTGGAGCTCAYATGGTTTAGTCATCAGTAAAACCATTTCTTCAAAATAGTTACTTTAGGAAATCAGGACCCTTACTGCAGAATGATGACAGGAATAGTTTAAAAAACTGTTCCAAACCTCTTGAGTAGGCATCATTCAATGTGCCATCCTAGCTTCATTATCTAAAGAACAGAAGATAAGAATTCTATAAAGTTACAAATCTCTTCTTTAAATCRGGTAGAGGTGATCCCCAGAGCCTTCTCTTCTCCAGGCTGAACAGCCCTAATTCTCTCAGCCTGTCTTCATGGGAGAGGTGCTCCAGCCCTCTGATAAGCTGTGCTGTTCTCCTCTGGACTCATTCCAACGGGTGTTTGCTATGCTGGGGGCCCCAGAGCTGGATGAGCACTCCAGGTGGAGTCTCTCGAGAAYGGAGCAGAGGGGCAGAGTCACCTCCAGCCACCTGCTGGCCAMACTGCTTTGGATGCAGCCCAGGATAGSRCTYCTGGCTTTCTGGGCTGAGAGTGCACATTGCCAGCTCATGTTGAGCACCTTGTYAACCAACCACAACTCTTTCTGTGTGACCATGCAGCCAATTCCTTATCCATTGAATGGTCCCTCTGTCAAATCCAAGCCTCTTGAGTTGAGAGACAAGGATGTCATAATAACCAGATTAACACCAAAGTATCTTCTGCACMTGTGTAAAATACCATATTATATAGTTTTACTTAAAGCTATCAGTTACCACAAATGCCAAAAAGAAACTCAAATCTAGTTTAAATTTACTTTTAAAAATAAAAATAAACCCAAGAATATAGGAAGCCTCTGAACCACTGCCWACCCAGAGTTTTAAAGCACCCATGTCTAGCAAACCTGTCTGCACCAAATATTCTGATGTACTGCATTTAATCTTGGTAAACTTGCAAAAAATATTTCAGCAATACACCTAAAGCAGTGAAATCTTCATTGTCTAAGTTAGGCGTTTCATACACACAATTTTAATCTACCTTAACCACTTAAGATTCTTCCATTTCCCTTTAGATTTGCTAAAAGAACCGTCTGCTTGATTTTTGCAGTCAAGATGGTTGTTTTAACTGATTTCTTGAGGTAAGAGTTTCAGTAAATTTTTTCTCATGAGATGCAACATCAACTGCTTTACTGCCTCACACAGGCRCTGATTAAATGTTCAAATTTCTTGTAAAAGCTAAGCATTTCAGAAGAAGAATCTGACCCTTAAATAGTCATAGGCCCAGTGGAAAGTTCTAACCATTTCTCACAGAYAGAATTTTTTTTCCCCTTAAGGCATAAATCGATTGCATTAMGRTACTATGTTTTCCAAAGCATTACACTGCTAYCAAATATATTGTGACTTGACAGTTCAGCTTCTCAACTGCCTCTGAGAAACAGAGATTAGATATAAACATGGATCAAAAAGAAAAAAAATCCAGTAAGAAAAAAGACAAGCTTATTGTTTCTGTATATGTGGAAAGGAGATAAGATTGCCATTGTTTGGCATGTGTTTAAAGCCCATTTTCATCAAAATAAACAAGTCATCATGGTGCAGTCTTTCTTCTCCCAACAGGATATAGCGCAAAATGTAAGATACAAGCTTGGATTTGTTTTCAAGTTCCATGCATCAGTCACTCAGAGAAGATACTCCCTGCATGCAAGGCTGCACCACATCTATAGGCACGAGTCATAAGGGGACAAAAGGGAAGGACCATATCAGAATAGCCCGTATAGATCACAAAATTTCAAGGACATAGGAGGCATGCTATTCTTCTGAAATAAAGGTCTGCAGTCATAACCTACTAGGGGGAATATACAAGCCTTGATATTAAGGGTAGGATTGCTGAGGTATAAACGTAAAGGAACTCAGTGTACATATGCATAACTTAGGTTTGATTCTTCCAAAACAGCCATTAATCAGTGGGGACTAYGACAATCTAGCAATCAGTAAGAAACTCATGGACTGTTTACTTAAAGAAATATTTCCCTTTTTCACTACTTTGTAATCCAGTGTTATGAAACTCTTAACTGGGAATTTATTTAAAGAACAGATATTCACAAACATTCTTTTTGGTGTAACTTGTTTATGCAGACCTCACATACAAGASAATATCAAGCTGAAAACAGTGCTAAGCCATCACCTTATGTGGTGTCAGAAGACTCCACCTTCTGGCTTAGGTGATTTTTCCCTGCACACAGGAAAGAKCCTGACAGACATGAGCAACACTGAGTTTGCAAGAGGTATGGCAAGGTGAYAGATGAAACAGGAACATGCAATAGGCTATCTGTTGTATTTATAGCAGTTACTGTAGCTGACAATTGTTTTATACAAAGGAAAGGTATGCACAGACTCACAGAAATAAGTTATTGCCATSATGTTGTCTAGAGTTTACCTTCTGGAATGTTTCTGGCTGCATTTAAGCAAGATGTAGCATCTTTGTCCTGCCTGATACAGAATTCTACAGGCATAACACGGTCGAAGCCTTGGCTGGTCTACTTTGAGTCAACTGCTGGTACTGCGAACTAACCCCTGTGGCAGTAAATGTCACAATGACAATCGTATTCCTYTGCACTTGATTGTATTTATTGCTTTTCAACTGGATCTCACTGTCATTAGGTCCTTCTCTTTCCTTCCTTTTATCAGACCCCTATAATAGAAATATTAAGCAACAGTATCTARATTTCTATTGCTAAAGCAGTATTTTTTCGAACTGCAAGGGTAAATAAAAAGCAGTTTGCCTCTCAGCAGGCAAKAGGGTAACGATCTAATGACCTGTGACAGACAGTTGTCCTTCAGGGCTGCCGAGTTTCTCTTCTTGAGGMACACTGCAGAACCCAGTTTAGGCACTCCTCTCCTGCACTGATGTACTTGCAACCACTGACTTTTTCCTAGTTGTGTCCTGAATAATGACAGGTTATTGGAAGGCACAGTCAATATTACATTAACTTTATCAGGCAAAAACGTAGTGTATGTATTGTGTACAGTATGGATGCTGCACTTCAGGTGACCAGAAATTTCTTCCTGGTATCCTCAGATAGTGCAAGTGTACGGAGAGAAACAAAGCACTGCTTAGTTGCTCATCTACTCCATGCTGAGCTATGTAGAAAGATTAGCATGAAGTTTACTGTGTCCTCCCTCCTGCTCAAAAATGCTCAGAAGCCTGGCAAAAGGAGCTGCACAGCCTTTCAGCACACAAGTAAACATAGCCCAAATCTCTCCTGATTAAGAGAGACAGAGGCCCAAAGGAAGTGCGCCTCACTGAGATGCACGCCAGATATAGCTTGTGAGAAAATAAAGTCCCCAAATCCCCAAGGAAAGACMATTTTTTACTCAAGAAAATAAAAGCAAAGCTGAATATATATAAACAGGAAAAGGAAGGAGATTTTGTTAGAGCTTTGATGAACTSCTCAATACTATTACTGCTATTATACTTCTCCATATATACAAGAAACCAGAACTTTTGTAGAAGACAGTAACTTTCTCTCAGGAGCTCAGCTGCAGCTACAGGTCTTTGTTACAACTCATCATGGCAGTTCACAAGCTCCAAGAACCAGGCTGACTTCCAGTAAACCTGAAGCTGTAATTTAGTGCACTGTTTTGCACTTGTAAAGCTCTAATTGCATCTTAACAATAAGAAACCACTGAGATTCAACAACCACTGATACTACTTGATCATTGGAACAATGGATTAGGCTCTTTTCAACCAAAGCTGCTTCCCTTCTTTGGACCAAATGAGCTCATTTGTCATGAGCTCAAATTGTCAAACTTCAGTGCACTCTGTAAGCACAAATCTCCACAGAATGTACTARGTTAGAGGACTTAAAAGGTGCAGTATCAAACTGAATCGAAGATTAAGTTAAGAAAAAGCACACTTTATATTGTAAAGCACACTTCATACATACACACACAGCTTAGAATATATGGGGAGGTTCAGGTGAAGATTCTAAACTCACAGTAAAAAGAATACAAGTTGAGCTGAGTTTAAACGTGTTTTCCAATATCATGCTTTTTGGAGAACATGCAGGACTCCAGATACCATTCCTTGCCTTCCAGCCAACCCAGACAAAATTGAAAGCAAGAATTAGTGACATATTAAGTGCTTACCATTAGAAATACAACCCCCCAATATAACAATATATATATAATTAAAATAATGATTCAAATTATTACCAAATTAATTTGATTTWAAAAAATTGCATTATCATGCTTCTCCATGAAATTCTTCATGGAGTGTGTAACACCACTTACATGAATGTGAAAGAAATTAATGGTATTACAGTAACAATGGAATCAGGAAAAATACGACACAAAACCCATGCTGTTTTGTTTCTTACCACTTGTTTTGCTAATGCTGCTGCCAGGCTGTGGCAGTAACCTAACAAATGCCTGTTTATCAACCTGCTCCACTACAATGATTCTATGTTTAAGCTATTACTCTTGGTACAAAAACTTTTATTTCATAATGAGATTGTGCTTCAAGCACTAAACTTTTAAACTGCAACACTCTCCCCTTCCTCTTGACAACAATMTCAAGAGCCTGCAAGAACCTACACTTTCCTGAACTTATACATCCTGAATTCATGTGAAATCCCGGAGTGCCTGCTGCCACTTAGCTCCTGGTGCATTCGCCTAAGTGCAGACCGGCTCTAACACCAATGCTTTTTTAGGGAAAGAAGGTGGCACCACCACAGCTTTATCAGACAAAAGCAGTTCTTTGAAAAAAGGATTGGAGGAACTTACAAGGAGGATTGCAAGGTCTGGTGGCAGCTCAAGCCAACACCCCTCATGTAACTCACCAAAGGTTTGGAGCAAGACATGAKAAATGTTGCATATGTGGCAACTGGAGAACAACTGGCAGTGCAGAAACATGTGGCCCTTGCACCAGTCCCTGGGGAGTAGCCAGCCCACACAACTCCCTCTGGGATCCCAGTTTGCACCAAAACTATGCTGTGCTTGGCCTAGCCCATAGCTCATTAGGACTTGAGATACGAATCTCTAACTTAATGCTTAATGCTTAATGCATTTTTATCCAAATTGCTGAAGTTCTCCTAGATTCCTATAGCCACAACTTTTTTAAAGATGAGCTGAGAGTGCATTTTATTGGCTGTTTTCATTAGGGACTCTTGCTAACAAGAGTGTTAGTAGGCACAGACAATCTCCAATGAATTCTGCTTGTTATCTCTCGTTTTCTATTACAAGTTCATAAAAAAGCACGCTAAGGTGTAGAGTACAGCCATGTGTTATCAGCACCAGGACAAAGGCAGGGGATAATAAGGAAGTTAGAGAAAAGTTCTCTGCAAACTCTGCAGGAAGGCTGTGAGAATCTTGCCTTGCATGGGAAACGCTTTACAACAGGTGCTAGTACTGGGAAAAAAGAAGAGGCAGGACACAAGAGAGGTGGTACCGAGGCCAGCCCATCAATCTGCCGTGGCCGCACACTCACCGCAAGAAGCGYCGGAGCTCCGCGGGTCCCACGCCGTCCAGCCGCAGCACCTCCGCGGGCGGCCGCCCCGCCGCCAGACCGGCGAAGAGCCSCGGCGCCCGCGCCAACAGCACGGCCCGGTGCGCCCGCAGCGCCGCGTCGCCTACTCGGATGGTCACGTCGGAGTGAGTCCCCTCCGCCAGCAGCCTGCGGGACGGCACCGTTACCGAGTGTCCCCGCCCCGCCCGGGGCCGCCCCCGGCTCGTCCGCCGCCCCGCGCCCACCTGCCGATGTCCTGCCGGAGCTGCTCCGCCAGCGCCTCCTTCAGCCGCTGCCGCTCCGTCGCCGCCGGGCCGGGGCCCTTCGGCGYTGAGGCGCCGCCGCCGCAGCGCGCCATGTGCCGGCCGCCACTCCGCTCCGCGCCCGGTGTGGCGACAGACGCGCGGGGCGGGGCCTGGCAGTCGGTGCCTTCGCGGCGGCCTGCCGTASTCACGGACAGCACCGGGACAACGCTCGCAGCACCGGCAGTACGCGTCTCCCCGAAACGGGAGCAGCCCCAGGACCCTCACCGTGCGGGACGCGGTGCGTTACCGCTCCGCTGGCGGGGCAGGGCCAGCCGGGGCCTCCGCCAATAAGGGCTGGCGCGCTGGGCTGGCCCCGCCCCCGGCAGGAAGGCCCCGCCCCCGGCAGGGAACCCGGGGAGGGTGGGGTCCCTCTGGGGGCGGGGCCTCATGTGGAGGCGGGGCCTCCCCGATGGGGCGGGGCCTTGGCCGGCCGAACGGAGGGCGCCCCCTGCCGGCCTTCGCCCCKCCCCGCCCCGCCCGGGCCCCGCTGAGGGCGCTTCCCGCCCCGCCCTCCGAGCGCAGCGCACTCATGTGGGGGCCCGGCGTTCGACGGCCCTCCCGTGTGCGCTGTCGCGGGTCCGCAGCGAGGGGAGCGGGCCGTAGTTCCAGCCAGCATGTGCTCTGCAGGTAAATCCGGACTCCCCAGCACGTGCTGTCTCGACAAAGAAAAATTGCTGTATATGTGATACAAGTCTCTCTATGCCACTTCCCGAGACAAGAGAGACCCTTTCCAACTTCATAGTGTAAGTAAAGAAAGCACATAACCATTTAAGTTGTAAGTGCTGAAAGTATTCAGGGAAAAATGCTTGAAAGGCAGGTACCAGTGGTGGATAGAAAGAGTCAAGTTCAACACCATTGTTGTGGTCCTGAGGAGACTCTTTTGGGATTTGGAGAATGGGCCGAGAGTGAGCGGGTCTGCAGCCATGAGCCAACGCTGGGCAGACAGCATTGCTTGGGCCTTCCTTGGGGTTACACTGAGCAGGGTCTGCTCCAAGCACCTCTGTGGAACACAGGGGCTCAAAAGAAATGACACGCGTGAGAGTGTGGGATGTGTTCCAGCTCCCCAGTATCTGCCAGCTCTGTTCTACTGTGGTGTAGAGAGTTGGTTCAGGCTCTGATGCCTGATGCCTCTCCCAATCAATTCTTGTTCATCCTTGCCTCTTTCCAGGGCACTGTACTTGCTCTGCGGGTGAAGAAGGAGGCTTTGGAAATCTAATAGGCATGTGACACACCTATTCTGTGGTCTCATATTTTTGCTTYTTTTTCCCTTTGTAGTTAGCATACAATTTTATTCTCCCCCACCATCACACACAAGTTAATTCTACCCTCTGTGTCCATAATCACTGTGTCTTCCTCCTATAAACACAGSAACTTGGCAGCAATTCTTGGACAGTAGTTAGAGACATAGGAAGGATAACGCCAACATAGAGTCATTATTTTCAAGAAACTACATCAATGAGTGTCCAGGCTGAATACTTGAGCTATTCAAACCCAGGTCTTAGCTTCAACAAGAAATATCTCCATAGGAAGTCCGATAAAGTAAAGGGAGTCGTGTAAGTTGCATTTTATTAGACAGAGGTGGATTTGATACATGTTATATCTTAATTTTCCATTGTTCCTGTTCAGACATGTGGAGTGTACAGATTTCCCATTTTTTAGTCAAGAAAGAAAAACACATTGCACAAAGCAGCTGCATTCAACAATACAACAAGATACGGATCATTATTCACTTGAAGACTAGAAATGTACTCAGAAAATTTTCAGTCGTTCAGTATGCTAAAATATAGATAAAAAGAGTTAATTACTGTTTAATGGTAAAATACATTAAAAAAATTCAGGCAAATCTAGAATGAAAACTTGTGACTTTCTTCAGTATGGCACCACTCTATTGTTTCATTATAAATTTGTAAAAGGCACCACACATTAAAACTGTAAAGCAAGGGAGAAAACAAAACCAAGCAACTTTCCATGATTTTCTTTCTGTACAAATACATATGTATTTTAAGGCAGGTGTTTTTATGTGCAAAATACAAGTATACAAGTAAAACCAATGTTGGTACCATATATTCTCATACTCACTTCTTTTAGCTGTAAGATTAGTGTCCAAATGTACAGTACAATGAAAACACTTTTCTCTAACAGAGCTCAAAATAGAAGGCAGGCTGGAAATATGGCCCTGATAACAATTAGGTTTTAAATCCAAAGAGCTTTTATTTAGACCCCTTAAAACATGTACAAACATGTCATTTTCTTTTTGTCTCTTCCTTAAGAAAGGTCCATATCAACTTGTTCACTATGTCAGGTTGATCCTGCTGGAGCCAATGACTGGCTTCTGACAAAATAGTTAATCTGAAATGATTTTTAACATAAATCCTTGTAATTTCTGCCATCTCAACTTCCATAAACGCATCTCTTTCTCCCCATAACAGCAGGGTTGGCATGATGACTTCATGGTGCTGCAGAGGTAGGCAGCTTTAAAAATAAAACACACTTAGTTAGGCCCTATTTTAATAAAAAATCACCAAGACATGTTTTAGTCAACACAGCTTTTGAAATTAATGCAGTGAATCTCATTGTAAACATTYTAGATTCCATGATATCTTCTACAATACCAAGAAAACATTGCAACTCCAAGTTCTTAAATTATTTTTAAGGATGGTGAAATTGTTAGGAGGTACTTCTACTGTAACAGGTCTCTAATCAGCAGTTGATTGCATCAGAGGTCTCATTTTTGGAACAGAAATGATTCTTCAGCTTGGAGCACAGCTCAGGAGCTCCATGACCTCTGTAAAAGAGAATGTGGAACAACATGGCCAGAATTTTATAGGTCAGTTGTTTTCCCTTGGTTGGTGAATGCTATGACAAGTTTCTGGACCTGCATTATTTACTGCACACCAGCCAAACTGCTTTACCAAAAAATATATGTCGAGAAAATTCCAGACCTACTCAAAATTAAATATAATGTAGTACAGCTAAAAAGAAAAATATTTGTAGCAAAAGGTATTCTATAGAACACTGATGTCTGAAATTCTGAACTGAATTCAGTTATATTCACTTCTCTATGAAATTCATGCTAACATTTAAAGTGCATCACAGTTTCTCCCTTTACAAAGTGCTACAGTATGATTTTGAAGGCCTTGGACTTACATACCTAAATCTTTATGCACTGAAAGAAAACTGTTCCTTTTCATCAAGTAAAAATCTCATTAAAATTGCAATATCTCAACCCAGAGTTTTGGCAGACTAGAAAATGCTTAAATACATTATAAGACATTTGAAGAATACTTTGAAGAAAAGCCCTTAGAAAGTAAAATTATAATAAACATTCTACTATCAAAATGACCTACTTAAACTTTCAGTAAAAAATTATGATTTTTTCTTAATACAATTATTTAAAATTGAATATTTTATAAATATTGCCTCATAGGATAGACATTTTGAAAGATACAAGTAGCTGGAATGAAAGACTATTTCAGCATTAACCCATTAGAATTTATTCAAGAACATTTCAAAGATCTTAAAACATTTATTTAAGCTTGAATTGCTTTCTTTTAGTCGTGTACAGTAAYAGACTAGCTGTGATGATTCAAAACAGATTCCATCTGATCAGGTACAAATCTTTGTTATATTAATGCAAAAATAGGATTATTTTAAGCCAGTAATGTAAAAAAAGGTTTTCCAAATAAACTTTAATGACATATGTAAGTAGTAGTTTTAAACCTAGGAGCTAGTTAAGATTGTGCTCTGTAAAAAGAGCAAGACAAAGCACAACCTGTCTTAGTTTAAGATAAAAAAATTGAGACTTTGAAGACATTCTTCCTCTCTACTTACATGTGAAGTCAAGAAATGTTAATAAAAGATCACTTTAGATAATAATTTCATTCTGATAGATGAATTACAAAAAAATCTTAAAATGGTCTTTATTACCAGTAGATTTAAATCTCATTTTGTAAACAACCTGACCTCAYCCACTCAACCATAGTTTATTCATAAAAATTGATAATCTGATGATCTGATTCAGTGCATTTAGATTAATCTCTTTACCTTTTAATCCAGTGTCCCGGATCTTTTCATTATTAATGTTTTTTTTCACTGCTGTAGTGTTTACTGTTTTGTGCCTTGCAAGATTTGTAGCCTCACTTAGGTAAACTGWGTCAGGATTTTTACAGGTGGTGCTCAGATAAACAAGATGTCACTTTTCATKGCTATGAACTACACTATATTTCTGTGTAGTCTGAAATCCGGGAAATCATATCATGCTTGAAGTTTCTAGAAATTGCCTTTAATAATGATTAATGCACAGATTTCACATTTAGAAAGGGAAGTTCCATTCACAAAATATTAAAGTCTTTGAAAAATTGACTMAGACCTTCATAGAATATTGTTACACAGCTTCTCTGTAAACAGTGAAGTACTTCTTAACTGTTATAAGAGAACTAATCCCATTTCTAAAAAAATGGCATATCAGAAGTAATTAAAGTTCCAGCTTCTTATCTGTCTTAACCAAGCATGATGGAAAAACTTTATGGATTTATTCTCAAAGTTTGTATTTAAAGTATAGTGAAGGGGATGACYACTGTGCTATTTATAAAAAGATGTGTTGGTGATGGATGGAAGTAGGTTATTTCAATCATCTCTTTGGAAATAACATTCCAGAAAAATTAGGTTCTGAAGAATGAAACTCCAAGTGGATAGAAATGAGTTGAAAACCTTTAACACGTAGGTCACCAGTATCAGCCCACTGGGAGCTATGGTGAATACAAGTCATTAGCGTCCAAGTGCTGCTTGATGACTTAGATGAGAGAAAGGGAAAATTCCAATCCAGTTTTCRTATTTAATGATTCCCATCCCATGAGGTGTTCCCATCAGAACTGGTGGCAAGAACTGAATAACTGTTTTATCTTTCCAGTCCAAAGCCTGCTGCRTTGTGGCTGATAGCATCTAAATAAGATTCTCTGAATTCAGTATACRTGTACCTTCATTAGAAGAATAAAGCACACTTCATAAATGTACACACAAAACACAYAGAGGAATTAACAGCTGTGAAGATACT